CACTCGAGGCTGGCACCGCTTCGAGATTATCCCATTCATTATTCTTGGCATCATTGGCGGTCTCTATGGTGCATTCCTCATCCGCCTGAATACTGGAATCACCAAGTGGAGGCGAGCTCGAACTTCCTCCCGGCCAATCATCGAAGTGGTTGTCGTGGCTCTCATCACAGCTTTGGTCAACTATCCAAATCACTTCATGCGGGCTCAGAACTCGGAGCTTGTTCAGTCACTGTTCTCCGAGTGCAACAGTGTGACATATGATCGATTTGGTCTCTGCGCAACGGGATCTGCCTCCATCGGTGTGGCAATCTACCTGGTCGTAGCTGCTTTATTTGCCTTTTTCCTGGCTTCCTTGACATTTGGACTTGAGATTCCTGCGGGTATTATTCTTCCTTCGGTTGCTATCGGTGCTCTTTATGGGCGTGCTCTAGGAATTATAATCCGCCTGTGGCAAGAATCTTATCCGAAAGCATTCCTGTTTAGCAAATGCGAGCAAGACATTCCATGTGTTACGCCTGGCTTATACGCAATTATCGGGGCTGCTGCTGCCCTTGGTGGTGCTACTCGAATGACTTTGTCAATTGTCGTCATCATGTTTGAATTGACTGGCGCGTTGACTTATGTGATCCCGATCATGATTGCCGTGATGTTGTCCAAGTGGTGTGGTGACATTTTTGGAAAGCGAGGTATCTACGAGTCATGGATTCGACTAAACGAGTATCCTTTCCTCGACCATCGCGATGACACCACTCCCCCAGACGTATCTGCCCACAGGGTCATGACAACGGTGGACGATATCAGCATCATTACTGCCACCGGTCATACTATTGCCTCGATCCGCAACCTACTAGCTAACACTACATATCGCGGGTTTCCCATAGTCTCAGACACCTCGAGTCCCATCCTGCTAGGCTACATCACTCGCAATGAGCTTTCTTTTGCTCTGAAATACTCGGCCTCTGGTACCACTCGAAATCTCTCCGATGAGACACAGGTCTTCTTTTCGCACCAACCTTTCGCGGACCCTATTGATACCCTTGATCTACGACCTTGGATGGACCAGACACCGATGACGTTGAACAGTAACATCACTTTCTTGATTGTTTTGCGGATGTTCCAGCGTCTTGGCTTGCGTTATGTGCTGTTTGCCAACAAGGGCATTCTACAAGGACTACTGACCAAGAAAGATGTCTGGTCGGTGCTGAATGGCGTGGAATTTCGCCGAGAGGAAGCCCTTCGACACGAACAATTCCAGGATTTCGAAAATCGTAATGAGGCTGAAGAGGTTGGTTTGCTTGACGGGAATGATACATCCAGTCTTGGTAGTTCGTTGAGGCGGGATTCTCTTTGATGATGTTTGCTACCATCTTTTTCTGTATATTCCAATTTTGATACAATATTCACGAATATTCACTCTAACTAAGTACAACGCAATGCCACAGAAGTCGCTACATTATGTAGGTTATTGAAATAAAATTGTGGCTGCCGCACCGCCCTTTCCAACCCCACATCTTTCTGTCAATTTTAACTGACCGCCCTCATGTTTACGGCTAGTGATCTTCCTGTCCTTGAGAAAGTCAGAAAACCGGAAGATAAAATGATGATCGATCCTTTTGAGGTTCGCATGCGCTTCACTACGCAGCTGCAGCACCTCAGTGCTGCTGTCACATCATCGCAGAAGGCCGCCCATTATGCGCTGAAGTACCGTGACCTCGATGAGGATCTTCACTCATGCATCCTGGAGCAGCTTGAACGGGTAAGAGTTCCAGTTTCCATGGTGTTGATCTATTCTGACTTTGTGTCTGTTAGAACAACATGAACAATCGTGCGAACATCATGTACTTTATTGAACACCTCTGCGAAATGGCCATCAAAGAAAACTACCTCCCATACGTGCGCATGATGCAGCGAGACATTCTACGCGTGGTGGACTCGGTCGTTCCCCCAGATGGCACTGGAGCAGCCAATGTCAAGCACGTCCGCCACGTCCTGAGCGGTCTCCAGGCGAAGGAAGTCCTCAGCGCCGAAACCGTGGCCGAGATCGACGCCGCTCTGAAAGACCGCGATTCCCACCCCTCCCACCTGGATCTTGAACAAGAGGAAGGCACCGAGGGAAGCAGCAGATCGAAGTCCGAGAAGCCCCAGCTACGCCTTGACAAGAAGCAGATCGAGCAGCGCATTGAGGAGGACCGTGAGCGCAACAAGCGTCAGCGGGAGAGCATGTGGGCCATGACTGGCAGCGATCGAGATGAATATAATCAGATGTGGGAAGAGCTCAGCCCCACTGGGGAGGATGACTTTATCAGGTCTCGTGAGGAGGCCCTGGAACGCGCCGAGTGTGTTCGCAAGCACGAGGAGTTCTATAAGAACCTATACGGTATCAAGGAGTAATGATTCGGTTGGCACATTGCTTGCTATGCTTTGCATTATGATTTCAAGGATTTTATTTACGGTCTAGGCGTTCAACTTGGGACTCTGCGGCGTTCTGGTTTTTAATGGGGCCTATACACAGCGTGGCATCACTTGCATCTGGTTGCACAATATTTAAGGGTCATTCGATATGACTGAATATTCGACTTTTTCAGCTTTCAATTTGCAAGCTTGCCATGTTTATTTCAACTCACCTTAGTCCCTTTACGGGGGCTGAAGTATTATTTTTGCCACAAGTTTTGTACCAGCAGGCTTGTATAATCAATATATAGACCTCGGGAGGTTATATACTTCATTACATACATGTACATAATATACCTACATGTAGGTATTACTTGACCCCGCAACTGATATTGGTTTCTACAACATGTACTACCTGCAATAAACTGCTTCACTCATACTGAGTAAAGTGTATATGTGTATCTGATAAAATCCTAGCAGTAAATACCAGGAAAACTAAGTTCCTGCCTAATAATATACATTGGATTTGGCTTTAGTGCTTGTCGTAGACCGACACGGCGTTTATATATTTTTGACATAGTAGGACAATTTTATTGTTTGTGCAGATATTTGGCGTCAGATGATATTTCACAAACTATAATTTAATTTTCAATACCAGACGAAGAAGACTTGATTAATTCCGAATGATCAAAAGAAGATAGACCTATCTTGCCCACCGAGTGAAGGTGAAGTAGATGAAGTGAAGTGATAGCGGAGTTGCTTATCGTCTCCGCTCTCGGGAAATCCTGATCGCCGAGAGATTTTTTATTTTTGCTTCACCTCTTGACCAACACGAGGAACTGTTTCCCCCATTTGGGTTTATTACTTTATTTCTCAATTTTCTTTTCACTCTATGTTTGCTCACCTGGTCACTGCTGCCAAGGGTATATTTACGCGACAGCCCGAAGAACAAGAGTCCCAATCCGCTGGCACCTCTGCCACCAATTCCAAGATGGTGACAGCTACTCGACGAGGAAATGTTGCGCCCGAAACTGCAAGCGGAAAGCGCAAGGCACAGTCAGCAAGTGCTAGCAAGACCGAAGACCAGCAGACCAAGCGGAGAAGAAGAAGCGATCCCAAGGCTACTGGAACCGATCAAGATGCTACGAAACATACCCCAGCAGAGAAATCCAGCGTAAATGGGGAGAAGGCACCTGCGGGCAAGAAGATCCGATTCGATAGCGAAGAACCTGAACCACTCGAAACACAGCCGGAAGAAATCTCGGAAACACCAGTCCAGGATGATGAGGACGAAGATGATAGCGACGATGATGCGCCAGAAACCATTGATAACTCGGCCCAGCTATTGAAAATGAAGGAGCAGACTAAGAAGCAAGAAGCAGCCAAGCAATTGTACGTGTGATTTCTTACTTTTGGCGAAGTCAATTTTGGCTAATGATTTTTTTTTACAGAGAAGAGCAACTGAAGAGAGAGAAGCGACGGAAACTCGATGAGCGTCGCAAGTTGCAAGCCAAATCTATTGTGAAGCCCAAGGAGGCTCCAACAGATGACATGCTTTCCGAAAGCACGGCTACTCTCCAAGGCACAACTACCCAAGATGCACGACGAGCCGCTCTTCCTGCTTTGCTTCCCGATGACATTTTGAACGCTGAGTTCGCCATTCGTCCCCCCACACCCCCGGCTGAAGATCAATTCGCCATGCCGAAGAAGTCAAATAAGTTGCGATTCCTGGATAAGCAGGACAAGCTCCCGAAGGATATCAACATGGGGGATGTCTCTATCCGGGTGCTGGATGCGCCGTCCTCAAAGAAGTCCTCAAAGCCCGCGCTGGCCCCTAGGATTTCCAAGGCCGGACGAAACCTCAAGACTAGCATGCTTCAGAAGACCCGTACCACAGCTCAGGGCAATGGGCTCCGACAGAAGGCAGGCGGTCCTTCTGGATTTGTTCGCCGGTGAAATCGAAATTGCTGTGCGGCTACCAGAAGCGATTTTTGTTTAGTGTCACATATCTTCAAATACAGCTGGAAGTTACATCTACGACCTGCCAGTGTCAACGGAGGACATGCTTACTTTCATCGACTAATGTTCTTCCCGGGGGTTTTCGATGCCCCATTGGCGCAAATCGAAAGTCGGTGTCGACCGTGCAACCAACCCCGCGTCTACTGCAGCCATTTTGTGATCAGCCATTGAAAAAAAGGATTTTTGTCCAAGTGTTACTAGGGTTGCATGGTGTTCGGCGAGAGTAGAACCTGGTCTACAATTCAACTTTGGGGAGTTATGTATATAGGATTCTGTCAATTATGCCCAATAACATCTGGCAATAAATTCATTCAAAAATAAAGAAGCATATAAATATAAAAAATCACCAAATACATACATATGTACGTATAAAAAAGAGTGAAGTGAAAATGATACAAAAGCGCCAAGGACCGGACCCGGACCCGTGGACAGATTCTCAGATTATTAAGGCGGACATGTGCGAACCTTAGCTTCCAAGGTTGCCAGCTCTTCCTCGACTTTTTCCACATAACTCTTTGCTTTTCCTACCTCCAATCCCCATTCGCCAATGGCGCTTGTCATCTAACTCTACACCTTTCATTCCTTTTGCCATGGCGCCTGACGCAGAGAATTCTCCTCTGCTGCCGCAGCATCAGAACTCGGCCTCCAATACGTCACCACGGGCAAACCGGACGTCGCGGTCGGTAACCTTCAATCCGCTCACCCAAATTAGCACCTATGGCACCACTGCCTCTACATCCGATCCTACATTCCGACCCTTGCAAGCAGGCTCACCTCCTGTGCAGAATGTCAACGCCCAGGGAGGCCAGCCCCGTCCTGGCAGCCAGCCCATGCTCTCAGCATTGAACAGCAAGCTTCGTCGTCGCAATAGTCATGGGGCTCCCTTCAACCCCATATCCAATCCACCACATGCGGCATCTAAGATTGGACCGCAGCGAACAACCAAAAAAGCGCAAAAACTAAAACTGCTGCCGGACCCTGTGACGGAAGAGGAAGAAGGGTCTGATGGAGATTTCCCTCGGGATGTCTATTCACAAATCACTCGCATCAAGGACCCCGCCGCACGAAGCCATGCTGCACGACTGGGCAAAGCCGACCGCGATCGCATACCTCGGGTGACAGCTTACTGCACGGCCAATTCGTATCGACTCGAAGGCGTTATCAAGTTCCTCAAGTCGCGGAGCAAGACTCGTGGAGCCAACCCTAAGCTGTATGATGAATGCGTCTACTCTCCTTTTGATTACCAGTACGAAGAAAAGCAGAACGCACGGTTATTTCAAGATCCAAATGGCAATGGACACCATGAGAGGCGACCCAGTGAAAGAAGATACTCGGATAGTGCGGTGGAGGTTGAAGACAATAAGAAGACCAGAAGAGAGGACTTGATTGATCTGCACAACGAGCGCAGTCACTCAAATGATAACGAACAAGTAGTCGTCAAAGACACTCCTGATATTGACACCACAATCCATACACCCGAGATATTCCTCTTCGACTACGGAACGGTCGTAATATGGGGAATGACGCCCGCGCAAGAATCAAGATTCTTGTCCGATATCTCCAAATTTGCGACCTCCATATTGAGTCCTGATGACACGCAGATTGAGAACTTCAATTTCTACTATGCGCGCGAGTACCAGGCCAGGATTTACAACGACTTCATCTCTCTTCGCGATCCACGCAACAACATGGTCAAGCTGGCAATCTCTCATGCTCTGGCCCAATCGGTCAAGACCTCGCTTTTCGAAGATCTTCTGTCAGAAACAATCACCGACACTGCACCGCTACCTGCCCAGATTGCGCAAACTGGTAGCGTCAATCTCACCCGTCGGCAAATCAATATGCAGATTGGAGAGCTTTTCATTCTCCGTATCAATATTCACTTGCAAGGATCTGTCCTCGATAGCCCGGAACTCTTCTGGGCAGAGCCGCAGTTGGAACCTGTCTACCAGGCAGTCCGAAGCTACCTGGAGATGGATCAGCGTGTCAGTCTGCTGACGGAACGGTTGGATGTCATTGCGGATCTTCTTGCAGTTCTAAAGGATCAATTGACACATCGCCATGGCGAGTATCTCGAATGGATTGGTAAGTCTCCCTGCAGTTATGATTTCTAACAACAAACCATCTAACGAATATCAGTCATTGTCTTGATCGCCGCAGAGATTCTTGTGGCTGGAATCAACATTGTCGTCGATCTCTACGCTGGAGTAGACTAGAGTGACAGATACTGTACTCATCAACCAAATCCACGCTCGTCTCGACCAATCAACTGTGCTGCGAATACTTGTCTCTCATGCTATGTATTACCGGCATATTGCTTATGTGCCTTGTCATACAATCCATTCCGATCCTACATCGACAACCGCACAAGGAACACAGCATGCGGGGAAAACACCTGACAGAACTCGCCCGATGTCATTCCAGCCGCCTAAGGATTCGAACTCACCCACCGCGTCTAATCTTCCTATCTGACCATCACCCCCTGCTATCTGTATCATCTTTCCAAACTCGTTATGTCTTCACCTGTACATGACAGAAGACATTCATACCCAGATCATCATATCCCATTCCTGTTTCCAATAATAGTGTGTCGTCCTTTTTACTGGTATTGGAGTTGGCGTGGGTTCTTTCACGGGAAAACGGCGTTGGGTATCTGTACAGATGGTTCAATCAAATCGAAATGCTATTGGCCTTACCTTGCGGAATAGCTCTGCAGGTGTTTTGTTTCCAATGGAACCAAGTATTCGTAGTCTATACGTCCTATCAACCCCAAATAGTGCTATGAGGCTTCCCAAATATCAAACAGCGACGCTGAGCTGTGCTCCAAAACCCGTAGATGCCCCCAAACCTACAGAAAAGCACTTGTTCCATTGTCATCAGCCTTTTCTCTCTTCCCCTTACTCTGCTTCTACCCACAGCCTTGACTTATAATAACCATAACAGATTCTAGATGAGCGGCATTGAACAGCTACAGGGAGGAGCCAGTTACTTCAACCATGCTCCAGCATGGGATTTCTCGAAATAACTTCATATCAGACATAGACGCCAGGAGACCGTAGAGTAGTGGAAAGGCCCAATCAAGGCCTACCAAAAGAAACAAAAATAAAAACCTAGAAACAAAGTCGACCAGCACCGCATCCGAACCCGATGCATAAAACCCTCAAAACGAACAAAACTGCAGAGAGTCCCAGTCACGACTCTGCAAAGCCCAAAAAGCAAAGAAAGAAAAGAAGGAGACGCACGACAAAACACAACACAGTCACTAAGACTGCTCAACCTTAGCCTCCTTAATCTCCTCCTTATCCACATCCATTGGCGTAGTCCCAGACTCAGGACCAGCCTCAGCAGCAGCAGGAGTCTGGTCAGCAGAGCCACCACTGCCCGTCTGCACACGGAAGGAGTGAGTAAGAGACTCCTGTGTCGGAGCCGGCGCGAGCCGGGGCAGGGCTGCACCAGCCGGATCTGCAGATTCGGGGTTTCCATCTTGAGCGGGGAGATCATCATCCTGGCCATCGGCGCCGGTGGCGTTGGACTTGCGAGAGCGCTTAACGCGTAGCGGACGTTCCTCAGGCTATACAATATGAAAAACAAAACACGTTAGCTTGGACCAGGCAGACAATCGGACCAACCGGGAGAGAAGGATTATAGTATGAGCTGGGAAGTAGAAGGTCTGTGAGATGGGTGAATTGCATAGACACGTACTGTGCGCGGCTGCTCATCGGAGCTACCCTCGGTATCGTCTTCCAGAAGCACACCAGCTCCGCCCTGTGCAGGATTCATCATGGCAGCGGCGCGGGCACGCAATTCCGGGTTTGCGGAGCCAGTCTTTGCCTCGTCGGCCATGCCGGTAACCTTTGTCAGACGCTCAAGAAGCATGCAGGTTTCCAGGCGCATTTTCTGAATGTATTGGGAGCCGCGGCGGTTGCGGGTGCGCATGAGTTCATTTTCAGCCTCGACTTCTGCAAGTCGCTTCTTCAGCGCTATGCACTTGCGCTTGTAAGCGATCTCCACACTGGGGGGATTGGCTGGTGGGATGGTGGAGGGTTGGCGGGAGGCTTCCATTTTGGCGATGAAGAGGGAGGAGGTCGGTATTGGCGTGTGGAGTTGAAACGGCGATATTTAGTTTGGGGTCTTTGGTCAGAGCTGACTCAAAGCACGATGCTGCGAAGGGGGTGGTGTGAAATATAGAGGAAGAAGAAGGAGCAAATTATCGGGTGACAGGCAGCGGGATATAGTATATCTAGCCTTGATCAGTTGTCGATTAGTCGATGGTGACGAGGGTGAGCCGATTGACTGAAATGCTGACCCTATTGAGATGTGCCAAACGTCGTCGGCAACAATGCGATGACCTCCAACATTATTCTGCCCCGATATCAAAGGCGGTCTACGCAATATTGTCTTAACAAATATTTATCCATTTAACTCCCTGCTATATACAAATGCGCCAGAAAAACAAGAAACTCCTAATAACCATGACTATCTAGTGGCCTCCAGTGGTGGGAAGACCAAGGAACACCTTGAAAGAGTCATAACTGAAGAAAGTTAGCGTCGCTGTACACGCAAACCAGGACGGAGCGAACACTTACATGAGCCATTGGAAACCGGTCAAAGTGCCCAGCATCACAATACGAACAGGCAGACCATTCCATAGACCAGAGAAGCCAATGTTCCCGTAGATCCGGGACACAGCGGTCATCGCACCCTCGCCGGCTACAAACGGGCGGTTAGCATACATCAAAACTATAACAAAAAGAAAGAGAAAAAAAACTCACCTTTACGATCAGCATTCAATTTGCTGACCATGACATCTGCTGGATGGCTAACAATAGCACAGAAGATTCCAGCAATATAACCACCCAAGAAGCTAACACCAGTCTGTGCCAATTGGCCATACTCCTCCTTGGGTTTACCCATAGTGCGGTAGATGACCTTGACCGTCTCCTCGAATGTGGCAAACTTTGTCATGGTATAAGGGATCTGTCGTGCCCACAGAGGGTACAATCCCTTGTACAAACCACCAAAGCCCTCCTTGGCAACGATCTTGCCCCAGCCCTCGCGCAAACTAGAGGCATATGGCGGCAGCGTGGTCTGCATGCGGACCTTGATGGCCTCCATAGGGCACAGGGCCATATCAGCAAAGAACTCGGCAGAGGCACTAGCACCGAGGAAGACCAGGGTGCGGTTGGACTCTGGGAACAGCCGATCTCCATACAAATGCTTGAAGTACTCGTACAGACCGTACTTTCCAGCACCTTGGAAGGAGTAGCCCACGAAGGTGGGCGACCAGCCGAAGAAGACGCCACGCAGGCCTTCTTTGGAGAAAATTGTTCGCCATGCTTGGATGTTGGAGGAGTAGATCTTTGGATCAACCTGGCGACGGCATTTTACGAGGTCGAGGGGTGTGACGGCTGTGTGGGTTGGTCCTATGTGGAATTGGGTGTCAATTGAGTGTGTTAGTTTGTTTTTTGGAGAGCTGTCACCTACCACAAGCTGGAATAATATTGTTAGTGCGTGCCTTGTGAGATGGGGAGCTTGGACATACCAATGATTCCGCCGAAGCCACAGCTGAGGAAGTACTTGAGGGAGTTGGGCTCGATCTTCCCAAGGGGAAGCCTGCGTTCCTGTGTAGCCATGGTGTATATTAAATGTAAGTATTTGGAGGAGGGGAGAGTTTCAAGATCAATAAAAGTGTACAATGTTCCAAGATTCAAGATGTACCTTGGAAGAGTGGGAGAACTATGTCGTCAGTGGTCGACCAGGGCTTATCTCCGCACTTCCGGAACCTTTGGAACGGCGGCCCAATATACTATCTTCGTGCCTAGGTACACTCTAAGCTGTTATTGATTTAATTTCTTAACTTTACTGTTCATTCTCTCGATATTTCTGTATTGCAAATTAACTGAAATTCAAAGTATTTACCATGATCCCATATCGATGACGTCAATGATATCCGGCCTGCCCGGTACTACATAAGTACAGTAGTACAACAAAAAGCCGACTTAGCCGGAGTTCACATGCATAAATAGTACATGGAGAGATTTAATGCAACCAAGCTTCCAGGGTTCTCTATGAAATTATGAAACAGTTTTATCAAAGCTTACAGCTGAACTGAGAGCTGTTAATTTTTGGCCTGAAGGCATAAAGCACAGGCATAAAGCACGTGGGATACTGACCTCTCATCATCGCAATGGTTTACATATGATAGACTGCTTGGAAGATAAATATAGCAGTTACTTGGAGGTCTTCAGTTGGCACAATGTGTTATATTCCTTTTAAGGAGCAACTACAAGTAGGAGGTCAAGAGAGACACGCCAGACCCAGAGAAAACAGACATTTACGGAGTCTTTTACAAGGGGACGGGGTATGATTGTGAAATACATAGGCAAAAAAAAGGTAAGAGAAAAGTAAGAGGTAAATAAATGTGAAATAAATGTGAAATGAAATACTTTCACCTCAAAAATTAATATTAATACAAAACCCTTTAGGGCTGGCTCAATAGATGAGGTTATTATTGAGATATATGCCTTGTTTATCAGGGCCTCAGTTCTCCTCTCTTGTTAACTATAGATTCTGTTGGATCATCCCCTGATCGTACAGGCTTGCTTGCTTGCAGACTGAGCGGTTTGCTAAATCCCAGGATATAAATACCCTGCTCTTCATAGGTTGAATGCACAAGATTTCTTGCTTTTTTCTCTCCCCCTCCATAGCAGAAGCTATAATAGGTTTGAAGTATATATAAACATACATCCCATGTTTTTAATAGTTCCCCTTTCAACAAAATCCCATTACGTTGCCGATCCGCCTTCGGACCATCGCCTGTCCGACGCTTTGGTCTTCTTGATTATCTCGCAGAACACGGCCGCAGCCCGCTATCGTCACGCGAGATGGCCTGCAGATTTTGACTGTGCGGGCGATATCTACGCGGATCGGTGGCCAATGGGCCATCCTGTCATTTTATGGGCCTTTGGTATTCCCTTCGTCGCCGTCTATGCTAATTATTACATCATGAGCGGAAGTAGCTGCAGACCTCACATCTAGCTACTGACCAAGAAGCCCGGACATTACCAGCTCTCCAATTGTTTCCCCAATGATAATCTAGGGGATTCCACGTCCCAGTTGTGTACCCAAAAAAGGAGATTGGTTTCTCAACAAAGAAAGCCCGGGACATTTCGATACGTCTGAGCTTCCATTCGTTCTACAACTCTAGACATTAGCCATGCGTCGCTCTATTCTTAACAGTGCGATGGAGCCATCTACTCCTGAGGAAAACATATTTGTGTATATCCTTGCCGAAGCAAGCCTAAATGACTCCGTTCGTCTTTGGGGGCTGCAAATTATCTGAAGACATTAGACTTGAAAGCCACACGAATTTGTTGATTGAATGGCAGTGTTAATCTTCCTGGGACGGTGATAGTTGCCTATATACTCCTGAAGACGTGACTGTTACGGTCAAGCGTATAACCGTGTCGAACAGTATAGAATTATCACAGATGAAATTCATATGAGGTTAAAATCGAGTTCTCCACAAGTAAGCTGACATCTTGCCTAGATAGCCCCCGCGGAAGGGAAATACAACCGGAATCTCAGAATCCGGTCCGACCCTTGTCCGAATATTTCGACTAAGGAATCAACCGGTGTTCATATTCCTATGCCGACAGTTAACACGGCGTTATCTCAAACAAAAGCCATTAATTCCGTGATCTCGCCATCGTGATGCAGCCAATGATTCCAGAATGATTGATTGTCCTAACTCCGTACGCATGGCGCAACTCCGTACGCACGGCGCTCCGGTGTCTAGGCATTTATCAGTTGCCGCATAAACATATAACCAATACCACGTGGGAAAGGTACCACGAGCATCTGCATTCTTAAATTTGTTGAAGTCAACCTGCACGACTTTCCCCCTGTTTGTGTTATCTTAAACAGCAGCCGATACCCCTTTTTCCCACACCAAACGCAGTCACTCATCGTGTATACCAGAAACTTCAGCAATGGCACAGACTCCAGAGAACAAGGCCGCCTGGCTATCCGGCTCCAAAGTTACGCCGCTTGAGGTCGGCCCCGCGCCATACACACAACCCGGACCTCACCAGATCGTGGGTAAGGGACTGGAAAAGATCCAGGAGGCATTTGGAATTCACATGCAGGCTGTTTCAGCGAAGAAGATTGTTGTGTCGCTATAGACTAGAGATTTATGTATTGGTTTCTGCTCAGCCTAGCGGTTATGTAGCTATCTACCACTCATTTTACTCTTTTCTATGTACACTCTGTCGGGTTCTGGTATTAGTTTACTACAGTCCCTACACCTTAAATGCATAGAGTGCGAAAACCTGCGGTGTTATTTACATATCACATGTCCGCTATTAACAATTGCTAACACAAATATCGCAGCATAACCTCTGATTTCTCATCAAAACTTCTTCACCGTTCTCCCATGGCATGAATCCCCCGAGCTTCGACAAATTTAAGAATCCATGGAAAAAATGATAACAAAGATATGTTGTATTCATTACATCTTAGTTCTGTGAATATATTAATATTAAGGAAATACCAAGAAAAGAGTGCCGTAAAATCGCGATTCATTAGCGATTTAGGATGTGTTGACAGACTTTTGGCACCCCATCGATAACAACAACAGCGGCAGCGGCAGCACTTTTCTAGGTAACAGTCTCCTGCCAGTGTCCGCAAAAAGCATCATCTAAAGATCTAGCGATCCTCACAAGATTGAGGGTAAAATAAACAAAACAATCAAACAAATGCAACGAAAGGAAAACGCCGAACCGTCCACCAACTGGCCGATGTCCCAAGAGAGCCATGTGACCCACTTACACAATTAATGGGACATCAATTCAATTCCCATCTTAGGCTGTGGTCTTTTCAGTCGAGTCCACATCCTCGGTGTTCGACGCAGCCGGAGCATCTCCCTTAATGGCCTGCAGTTTCTTCGCCTTACGGATATCAACCCATCCCAACCCCCAGCCAAAGGCAAATGTGGCTACGCTGACTCCTATGCCGAGATACATAACATGGCTAATTGCCGTGGTATAGCACTCGAGCGCAGCGGTGAGCTTATCGCCCGAAACAAGACTTCGGATTGAGTTCAGTCCGGTACTGATGAGGATATCAGGGTTGACGCCAATCTCGGCGAAGCGTTTCTGGAGCTCCGCGCGGAGGCCGTTGGTGAAAATCGAATTAGCGACAATCAGAAACACGGCACCGCCCATGTTTTGGCAAAAGATGATGATAGCCATGGCAATAGGGATCTGCGGAGGGGGAACAAGATTTTGGATAGCGATGTAGGGCTTCATATGAAAGTAAAGTTAGCAAAGTCCGATTCGGGATGTGGAGGAGATGGGATATTGCGAAGTATACTCACCGCTGAGGTCATTGCACCACTGCCAACACCATAGAGCACCTGGTACCCAAGCCATTTGTGCGATATAGTCGTGGGTTTAATCAGAGACATGAGTCCATACCCAATGGCAGTCACGGCGCTTCCTCCCAGGTTCCAGGGCAAGTAATAACCTAAGATCTCGGCTGCGAAACGTTAGTTTGATTAGTTTTGAAGTGACGAAAGAAGAAGGGGGGGGGGAACGAACTCATCATTCCAGAGAGCATAGTGAAGAACACTAAGCACAAGGTTGCTGGCAGCATGTGCACACCGCTCATGATAGGACTGTTGTGAAGCACGGTTTGGAAGAAAATGGCGAGGTAGTACTCGGCCACCAAAATGGCACCGAGAAGGAAGAACAAGTTACCCGCAGCAGACCACACAATGCGCTTTTTGATCATCGCGAACGGTACCATGGCACCGTCGCCCTGGCGATATTCCCAAATAAGGAAGAAGATAAAGGTCACAGCCGCGCCAACCAAAAGGCCGATTACAACGGAGCTATTCCACGGGTGCACGGTACCGCCGTATTGCAATGCAAGCAAAAACATGACGGCAGCGGGGCTAATGAGCATAAAGCCTGGAAGATCCAGAGACTTAATGGCTGTGCCGAGGACTTGTCTGGCGGGTAGCTTGTCGGTCGGTTCGGGGATCTTGAACAGGAACAGCAAAATGGCCAGAGCACCGCCAATGGGTAGGTTGATGTAGAAACCTGCAAGAAGAAGAAGGTGGTTAGCAAGATTATAGCAGTAGAGAGACGTCCAAGCAACTTACACCAACGCCATGAAACATTTTGGGTGAATGCACCGCCAAGGATAGGGCCCAAAGCGATACCGAGCTGGCCGATACCCATGTTTATGCCCAGAAACTGGGCCTGCTTCCTGCGCGGTAATATAACTGAGATGATTGTCATGGCGCCGTTTCCAATACCCGACGATCCAGCTCCGGCAATGGCTCTTCCAACAATGAACATGGGCGACGAGACGGCGGCTCCACAGATGACAGACCCGAGCTCGAAGAGAAAGAAGAAGACGAGGAAGGACCACTGTTTCCATCGTTAACAATGATCAATTGTGTCATTTCTCAAGCTATCACAGAATGACCAACCTTGATATTAAAGTGGCTGTAGATCTTGCCAGTGAGCGGCTGCAGAGCAGAGCTGCCGAGCTGGTACGCGCCACCATACCAGCCAACATCAACTAGAGAGTTGAATCGTTGTGTGATGGCAGGGGTTGCAGTAGACACGACACACATGTCGAGGAAGACGAGGAAGTAGGCGATTGTAACAGGACCAAGGATAGACCATAAGGCCACGCCGCTGGGAAAGTTGCTGTCATCTTCTGTGGCCTCGTCCTTGGAGTCGACGCTGTCGGAGCCGTACTTCTCAACATCACCAGTCTCATCCGACAGTACCATATTTGTGTCAATTGATTTGTTGGAGTCGGTAGTGGTCATGGTTATGGCACTGGAGCTGACTCTTGCTCTCGCTGGTGCCAAGAACTGTATTAGTAGTTATTGAAGAAAAGTAGCTTGCAGTCGTAAGTTATATAACACAATTGTATGACAACATTAAGTTAAAAAAAGAGATCATGAGCTTAGAATAGGGACCGGAATGTTTCTGCGCGAGTATGTAAATCCATTTAGGGCTAGTAGCTGCATGTCGGAACCGGAATCTGAAATCCGGTCGGTCTCCTGTTGACGGACTATAGTAGTATGTCCGGCCTGTCAAGCTGGAACGTGCCATAAATATTTATAATCATAGGAATTGGAATATTACAAGATTACAAGAGATTATACAAAATTTGGTTGGCTGTAGTTTTAAAATAATTCGGGCTTTTTACAAGCCATTTTAGCCCAAAACGGTAATCGCCCGTTCATAGTAGAAATACTTCTCTAGTACTATATCTCAAATGTGAGTTATGCATACACAATTGTCCATTGATAATATATTCAATCTTTTTAAGAACGGCTATAGCAGTGTGTCCAGGGCAGACTGTCGCCTAGTAGAACAATATTTGGACCGTGAGGTATAGCTACTTCATCATATACCTCCCAGGCAGGCAGTAGTAGAAGACAGTGAAGATATAATCTCAGTAAAACTAAATACTGTTTAGACGCAAGAGTGCGTACCCATATATCATAATACCGTGGAAGCTATGAAAGCGTAATGTCGTTCATTTCACATGTGCAGTAGTGGTTTGCGATCAGTATGTACCTTTATTAGCAGTACAAAAATGTCAAGCCTCTACATGGTAGGTATCGACTGATCTTCATAATCAACAAAAAACTCCTCTAACCATAACGTCGGACTCATCAAGTATCCTGCGTGTTGACTATATGCCAACGCATCTGTATCTCCTTCCGTAGTCGTAACTGGAGCCATAGTCATATCCGCTCTGTTTCCTACTCCATCACCCGTTTCCTTTGCTCTATATGCCTCTTCCTGTTGACTCAACAGTTCTCTATCGTGATATGACGATTGGAACATGCGTAGGCCGCGGGCCAATTGCATGAATACGCCGTCGGCTGACGCCGGTTGTTCACCAGCTTCAGCAGCAGCGAGCTCCAGCTTGTCTGCCGTGCATGATAACAAGGCGGGCAGATCGACGAGCCTTTGCACAGTGGCTGGATCCCAGCCAGGCTCCCGGAGCGTGCTTAGTTGGTGCAGGGTGGCCAGGCACCGTACTAGCTGAGCCCATTGGATGAAGGAAATACCAAGGAGTCCAGACGGCGAGAGAGTCAGGAAGGTTGATGTGCACGACTTAATCGCGAGTGCTGACTGCCAAAAGCAGGAGATGCGCGTAGGCCCACATGTTGGCGGTGGCGGGCGCGCGGATTGCTGGATGTGGATGGTCTCGATAATGCACATCTCTGTGTAGTACGTCTGAGCGAGAAGGACTATATATCGATTAGCAATCAGTGGCTGATATTCTTCTAAATAAAACCCTCTGAGCTGGACACCTACGAAAGTGTTGTTGGAATGCAGGGGGGACAGACGCCCTGAGCTCCTGTAGCTGCCCCATCAGCGCCTTGATGTACAGGAGAGATTGAGGCGAAAGAGTTTCCGGTGGAGGGTGGTCGGGGAGTTGGGCTCGCTCCCTGACCTCGGCGGCCTTCGTGGCGAGGAGCTGTAGGCGGACCTGAATAGCCAGGGCAGCATCAGATGGACATTCTGCGCCGGCACTATTGCCGCTGGCGACAATGGCAGCAAGGGCCTCGTCCATCTGAGGTATCCACCGGGGCGCCTCAACCTGGCAGAAATAGGCTGAGACGGCCGAGCCAAGGACAAAGCAGCCTAGAATGGCTCGCTGGCGCTCGAGGTAGAGCTGGGTATCAGTCACCCCAGCGCCGGTTGTCGGTGTTGTCATTGCGGTAGTCGCCGGCGTGATGCCATACACGTTGTCGAACCCGCCGTTCGGTTCGAGGTGACTTATTGTGCGCGAGATTTCTGGTACAGCTTGATCCAGAAAACGCAACTCGCCGACCAACGATATAGCCATTGCCATGAGACGAGGCAAGCTGTGATTGCTACGCAGGTGCTCCCATCCCCACGCAATGTAGACAAGGAGGCCTAACAGCAGATCCACAGTTTGTTGTGGTTGCTGCTGTTTCTGCTGTGGCGACCGTTGAAGAAATGCCGTCTCATAGAGTACACGCTTCAGCTCGAAGGAGCTTGCCATCTTGTCCTTAGCCGATACCGATGTCACACAAATAATGGCGCGAAACAGGAACGGCCGGTCTAATCGTAGTTTCTCGGCCGTGAGGTAGGCAGGCAAATGAACAAACGGGAAATGATGCAGCATACGCGAGCAGAATGTGTCTATAGAAATCGATGCTGAGGATGGAGGTACCGAGGACGGAGATAGAGCGGGCGACATAAACGCGCCCGACATGGTCGAGGATGGGGGGGTGTCGACGGGCATGCCGTTGGCGCTAAACGCGTTCGCATTGTCCATCCCGCACCAAGAAGCAGAGGCACGGACGGCGTCGCTGTCGGTATCCTCGTCGTCTTCGTCCATAAAACCGGACCGCGAGTCCTCCATAGTGCCGCTTCCTTCGGTCCCTTCTGCAGCCACGTCTGGGTATGGAATGATTGGAGGTGGTGGTGGTTGTTGCTGATGTTGCTGGTGTTGTTGCGGTGGTGATTGCTGCTGCTGCTGCGACCATTCATCAACTCTTTCGCCGTGGACATTGCCCGCCTGGAGCATCGAGACTAGTTGACCGAGTGTACCCTCGAGCTTCGCAATACGGGCTTCCGATGAGTTTTGCTTTTTGTCGCTGCGGCGACGTACTGCATCGGCTGGATGGCATGGGCGCTTGAGGCGGTGGCACCTATATAAGGCACCCTTTCGTGTCAACGACTGTTCGCAGGTTAGGGTCTGGAAGCGTGGAACAGCCAGCAAAGTGCAGCCCGGACAGACCTTTCGCATCCATTGCCATCAGAACGAGGAATGCATTTGCATTTTGTTTTGAAACAGTTCAAACACGCTTGCCCATATGGCGCTGATCGGCCAGCCATTCTGTAGAGGGCCGGTCGGGATTAGTTGTTGGGAGAGATATAGCTCTATACAGCGATAGAGGATACTAGTTTGAAAGTTTCTAGGATGGAATGTGGGTAGATGTAAAACACGAAGAGTGCCAGTTAGACACAGATTGTCAGACAAAGGGTGTGTACTTCGTACATTTATCAGCCCACTTTTATTCTCCACCTAACATTTCTCAAGCGGGCCCCATAGATTAATAATCACTTCATTAAGCCCTCTAGAACTGTTGTAAGTAAGAAAGAGTAAACTTCGAATATTAGAATACATCATCTTACAAAAATTACATATAATGCATGTGATCACGTACTAATTACTCCGTATCTGTTGGCTATTTCTTGCAAGATTACGGCCCCGGGGGCCCGGGCGGGCCGAGACTAGCGTACGATAGATGTCGCACCACACGTACGAACGCCAAAAAGAAGATTTAGTTGCTCCCATGAAAGAACCCCAAACAACTCGAACCTCTCAACACGCTTCTAGAGTCCCGACGACTCCAGACGTTAGCCATGCCTCGCCTGACTCGCTCCATTCTCCACAATGATCCTACGGAGCCATCTGCTCCCGAAGAAAACATCTTTGTCCATGGCCTTACCGAAGCAATCTTAAAAGACCCCAGTCCTTATTTGAGACAGCAAGGACCAGAGAGGTCGCCCAGACCTAACTACCCAGATTTCCTACAACACACCGACTCTGATAGCAGTGACGACGATGCGGTTGATATTCCATACCAGAACGACGAAGATATGACTAGTGTCGTTGTCGATGGTACGGAGCGTACGAAGCAAGACCCCGGACCGTCAGTTCGGGTCCGTACGGCCGCCGAACTCGAAGCTATCATCAACGCCCAAGTCGAGGACAGTGAGTATTGTATTCATTCTTCTCTGCAAGCACATATTTGCTAATAAAATGTAAAGCTTCCTTCTCGGGTCTAGACACTGCCGGTTTGCCCCTTCTACGCAATTTCATGACCTCGTTCGAAAAGAAGTTCCGCGATTTGCACCCCGAGCGGACCGAACTGGATTGGAGAGATGGCGTTCGGAAGCCAGCGAGATCTGCGGTGGCTCGGCGTGCAGCGCAGGGACAGTTGTGTGGTGTCGAAGCTCCGGCGGATCAGAAATGTACGGCCTGCGCCCAAGGCAAAAGTACATTCGAGCATTGTCGGATTGTTTTCGTGAAGAACGAGGCTCAATGGATGTGGGCTTGTGCGAATTGCACCTTTATGGGAGGGAGCCATAAATGTTCTTTTCGTACGTCTTCCTCTATACTCGAATTGCGACAAAACTGACGTACGGACAGGTCCTGATCTATTTTCCAATGTGCCCTCGTGGGTTATCGCGGCCGTGAGTGAACGGCAGCCCTCGAGTCCATTGCTTCAAACATACCATGGTGGAAAGGATACAGCTGCCACCCGCAAGTCCGCAAAGTCGACTACTAATCGGAAGCGTACTGCGGCTGTGGCTCAATCGAACCCCGAACAGATTGATCAAGCGCCCGACCTCGCAACACACGAATACGCGCCCTCTCGGCAAGAACATTCCCCGACAATTCAACGTGCCAAAAATACTTCACGCGTGCGCGGAAACGCCGTTTCAAAGGGGACTTCCGCTACTCCGAAAGGGGCAGACGAAGAGCAGCCCGCTAAGCGCCGCAAATCAGAGGTTGGTCCCGCAAAGGCCAGTGAGGGCGCCACTAAGGACAAACCTAAACGCCGCAAGTCAGAGGTTGGTCCCATAAAGCCCAGTGAGGGTGCTACAAAGGACGCACCTCCTAAGCTCAAGAACGGAGGGCTCCCATTCAACATGACCTGGTACAACTCGCCTCTTGAAGACCCCGAAGTGTACCGTATGAAGGATAAAGCCTATGCCCTTGATACCTACAACGATCTTGCAGAAATCATCGCGCGCGCCACGGAGGATCACGGTCGTATGAAGGCAGCACTGCTCAAGAAAGGATTCTTGCCGGAGTCGGACGACGAGGAGTCCGAAGAGGAGAACGTATTTGCTGTAGAGTGAATGCACCCGGGGGTTCTAGTGTTTTTTTATTGATTCTGAAATATCCACAGACTGACCAGAAGGCTACCCGGCCGTATTGCAGACGGTCTGGGTGCTGATCTGGTGCCATTATGCCTTCGTCTAGCATATCATTTAATGACTGAAACTGTCCAAAAAGCCTTGTTGCTTTTACCATAAGTCCTGCCAGTAGTCCAGTGAGCAACTCATCGAAGTGGCATTGGCATATTTCCCACAGCATAGCTCTCAGATCTCACGCAATGAGTACTCTAAAACCCCATGAATCACGTTTTGTTACCGAGATTGTACGCACCGCGTGGTAAGTTTCGACCTATAATTTCGCCTTGAGTATCATCCTGCTCAGCACGGATGCGCTCCGCCTCATGAGCAAGAACCAACGCCAATTTAATGCCCAAATTAGACCCGACACGCGACAGCACGGTACGGATCAGTTCCACCTCCGCCGGAGTCGGCATACCGGAGGAGAGAATATACCAGAGGGGCCAGAGCAAGCCGTAACCTTGCGCAGCGCGCATTTGCCACGCGCTATCTGATTTGTTCGGACGGCCGAGGGAGTCGACGTCAGCCAGCGCGAAGGGGATGCTGCGACAGACGTCTGTGGTCATTTCGCGGATGATAGCTCTCAGGGCTGGCTCGTCGAGAACGGACTGGGACTCGGGTTCAGAACTGGTGGTATCCCGGGGATCGGAGAATTGCTTTTTGGCCGCTTTGACGGAGGTAAGTGTGGTATTGAGGCCGAGGAGAAGCTGCTGTACCATCACGCGCACTGCGCGGTAGTAGTTCCAGACCACGGCGTTGGAGAGGCGGTTGTAGGTTAGGAGGGGTTCGCCCTGTGCTGAGTAGACGACTAGTGGGAGCCAGCGGTCTGGGAGGGTCTGTGTCCACTGGGAGAGTTCGATGTCGTATTCACGGCCGGCTGTGATCCATGATTCGATGGCTGCTTGATCTGGGGGTTTCGGCGAGGATCTTATGTACAGAAATAGCTGGCAGAGCTTTGATGCAGTGAGCATGAGCCGCTCGACTGGTTTGTTGATGTCTAGCATGCCGAGGACCCATTCGATGTCGAAGCGGGGCTTGTCTCCCAGTGCGAGGATTTCAACATACTATACAAACGTCAGTCTCGGATCGATATTCAGTTATGTATGCCAGGTCCCGATTTCAGAACCGTACGTCAAACTTACCGTGTGGGCATAAGCAAAAGTAAGCATATCTCTACCACGCTGATGATCAATCAGCGTGTTCCCACGGAGCTTCGTCAAGAACTCAAACCCGGCCGTATGCGAGCTGAACAACCCATTGCGCTCACCCGAGATATCCTCATACAGCGAAAGCAAAACAACCGAAGCAAAGGTCTCGTCCTTAACCGCATTAGCCGGCGACGCCAACGCCTCCTGCAAACCCCGCAACGCCCGCCCATAGCCCTGCCGCGCCTTGTTCATGAGAGGCGGGGCATTTTTAGCATTAGCGAGAGTCATTAGTGCCGTGGCATCGACCGCCCACCGCAAACAGGAAGACGGCGATTCGCCGCTCTGGCGATCGAGCTCGCGCGCGTACAGTGAGGGCAGATATTCGAGATGCCCGCCGTCCTCGGAATCGGCTTTGATGGTATACTGGTCGAAGAAGTAGCATATTGCTCGTTGTTCCCAGCTGGAGTCAGCGGGCGAGTATAGCGTCAGGGTAGCCTTGTCATGGTGTTTCCCATGTGAGCTTGCGTGTCGACGGTGTGAGACGGCTGATATAGTTGAGTCCGAGGTTGAGGGGCTGTCTTGGCTGTCGGTATTGCTGTGGGCATTTACGCTGGCACTGCTCTTCATCAGCCGCTCGACTTTCCTGGTCTCGTTGCGGAAGACAGCATCCGGCCGGTACCCTGGACATGGTCGGCCATAGATAATGCAGTTCCGGCACTCCGGGTGTGCTTCATCGCACTTGAAGGGAGGATATTTAGCATTTGGCTTTTCGATGCGTGTAAATAAGACTACAAGTATAGACACAATACAGGTTCATTGGCGGGGTAAATGGGAAAAGAACATAATACTGAAGCTCGGGACATACCTTTATCTTCCGCTTGCGACACAGGTAACATCCGGTACTTGGTTTGCCCCCATAGACCATTGTTCACCCGCGGGCAATCGTCTGAGGGACCTCTAAGACCTGCGGGTACTTCAACAGAAACCGCAAAGGGGGCTGCGAGTTACAGACAGGTCGGATTCGATCTGGGTTCCACAAAGGTCAAGGACGGCCGTGTGTCATCGGTTGTAACTGGATCAACTCGGCTGCCTAGTCGGAGCGAAGCACATGCACATCTTAAATGATGTGCGAATGGCTTTTGTAAACCAAAGCTCTCGTGTATTTCAGCAATGCTCACGTTAAGGTCTAAGAGACGTTAAGTTTCATCCGGGACATTTCCCAACCCGATTAACCGCTTAGTCATTCCCCAGGTCTGCCCAGGTGCCCAGGTGCCCAGGTGCCCATGGAGGTGCTCAGATGCCGAGGTCAAAAACGACGAGTTGGACATTTGGGAATGTAAATGATATAGATTTCACCGGACTAGATGGTACATATATAAATCACATTCCAAGTGTTTCCAAAAAAAAAAGGTATCATGTGCTCAACCACAAAACACTCCGAAATGGCTGATATGAAATAAAAACAAGGTGAAAAAAAAACATCTCACAACTCCAGTATGGCAACTTCACCAGTCTGGACAAATAACCAAGACAAGTAACCAAACAGATTTGCAACACCAAATATGCAACCGCTTGGTGCTCTAGAAACACTTAGGGAGGAACGCCGGCAGCTCGTTCTGAAGGCAAAGCACCCACTGTTGACAAAAACACACCGCGCTCAAAAAGATGGGGAGATAAATATGACAAAATAGATGGATATGCGTAATCGTTATATGGTAGGATATCAAACCAAATCAAATTAGATCAGATCAGACCAGGAAATGCTTAGAGATTAGGAGGAGGGCGCATCCGGCATGGGTGCATCGCTATCAGTGCCTAATGGGATCGGTGGTGGGGGGACGGAGCAGAGGCTTCGGGGTCGAGTTGGAACGGCCAGCTCGCGGTCATCAGAGCTTATGCCGGGAGTGCTTAAAGCGCTCTCAATGGCTGTATCATCGTAGTCTTCTGGTGGTGGAGAGAAAGACCAGACCTGCAATATATATTAGAAAACATATTTCCATGAAAAACGGAACATCACCACGTACCTCCATAACCGTGCGGCCAGAGCGGCTCGCCATAATTACTGCTTTTTCATCCTCAAAAGCAACTCTCCAAACTGCCTCGGCAGGAGTAGAAAGCTCCCGCAATAGCTGACCAGTCTGTAGGTTCCAAACCTTGACACGGCCATCACTGCCACCACTGACAATGCGAGTCTTATCAAACTGAAGACTGGTGACACTGTTATCGTGGGCCGCAAGACGGTGAATCGGCGCCATCTTGGTTAAAGACCAAACGCGGACAGAGCCATCGGAGCCACCTGTCACTAGCGTATCGTCCCGCATCTGTAGCTGACCAACCAAAGACGTATGACCTTGTAGAATGGCGTGGCACTGCCCAGAATGCGGGTCCCAGATCCGGACGCTAGTATCCAAACTTCCCGTCGCGATCCGCCGGCCATCAAAGGCAATAGCGTAGATCTGACTGAAATGTCCTGAAAGGGTGCGAAGACAGCGTCCTTGGGAGATGCTCCATATCCGCGCAGTAGTATCATAGCTGCCCGACACAACTAGATCACCATGAATTGCCAGACACCGCACGCTGGCTTGGTGTCCGACGAGGACGTTGCGACATGTCCCTGTAGCCAGATCCCATATACGAAGGGTGGTATCTCTGGATCCTGAGATGGCTGTGTTCCGATCCGACATCTTCAGACAACGGACGGTTGATGTGTGGCCCCGAAGGAGATGAATTCCCGCCCTATCATGTGTTAGTTTTCGTTCGTGGAAGTCGTGGGGGTTCTGTCCTACCCAGTAGCCATGTTCCATACTCGAACTTCGCGATCGCAGCCTCCGCTAACTAAAATGTCATCCCACGGGACCATCGCCCATACTCCCATCACATGGCCTTGAAGCGTCTTCTGGTTGTCCCCGTTGGTATCATAGACATGGATCTTCGCATTATCCAACGCAACCACAATATACTTCGGAGTGAGATGAAGACTTGTCACCACACCTTGGTCAGGGGTGATATGGCGCTGGGTGCAGCGACCACCTTTGTTCCACGCCGACTCAACCATGTATTTTTGCTTGAACTGTGAACGATAGGAGACAGGCCGGGTCCGACGTCTTCGGGAGAAGCTTGTCGGAGGCAACCATTCTCCGGAGAGCGTGCGGGGTAGGTTCGGTGCGCTCTCGGTGGCCTGACCATTTGATGCGGTTAAGCGCCGCTGCAGTCCGCCGAAGGGGCGTGCGCCGGAAGCCGAGTCTACGGGATGGGCGGTGAAAGGGTCGACGAGGTCCCCTTCATCTTCCAGCACGCGCCGCACCGAGTATGCATGTTTCTCGCATAGGTTTTTCCAAGTGATGTCATCGTTTAGTAGTTCTCGCCAACGCCGTGATACTTGTGAAGCTCGGGCGAGAGTCTTGGGGTCGTCGATAAAGGAGAGAACCTAAAGCAGGCACAACATTAGTACTGAATAGTAAGAGACTCGACCAAATGGCTCACTCTTAAGCATAGCTCATTAGGAAAAACCTGGAATGGGTCTTTCCTCAATCGAGGACCGACGTAACTCGACACAAAGCTCAGCTGCTGGCTGTCGCATACGTCCAGAAGACCCTCCAGGAGCTTCTGTTTTCGGGCGTTGGATAGAGTACTGAAGTGAATGCGGAGGTTTAACAAAAAGCTGGTCTCTTCGTCGTCGGTCGAGTGCCAAGTTGGTGGTCGTTGATGGGGGGTAGGGCTGGGCGCGGGTGTCGGGGGTGATGCGGGCGCTGAAGGAAGTAGGTTGCCGGGTAAGGGGGTGACGGTTTGCTTGGTGCTGAGTGATCTGGATGGGGTGCTGGCAAAAGAAGTGACTGGTTCGTGGGACGCTTGGTTATGAGGGTCCAACTGGTCTGATGTGTGCGCATTCGACCCATCTCCCATGTCGCTGAATGATGCCCGATGGGAGTCCATGGCCGCAGAACAGGGGGGAGACCGCCACAGTCGAGTATGATCCTCCCACTTGTCCGATCTGTATTTATTTATGTGACGCACTGGGCCTCCAAGCGTTCACGGCCAACATATAGTTATGAACGAGTCGGGAGTCGGGAGTATGAGGCTCGGGGGTATGAGGAGAAGCTGGCGAACGGCCGAGGGAAGGAGGGAGGTGAGACCAATAATCCTCCGAAGGTATCGAGGCCCCCCGTTTTTTTCTTTTTTTCTTTCGAATATATCACTTTCTTTCGTTTCTTTCCATTCGATCAAAGTTCGAAGTCAACTTCCAATGAAAAAAAAGGCGATGAGGAAAAGGGACATTTGAAGCGGAGGTGTCGTGATTCTGACAAAGCATGGCCTCTCCGGGACTAATCAGATGAGATTTATATGGATCTTATGCATCCGGCACAGATCATCTCTTTTCTCTGCATCTTTTTTGCCTTCTGGTTTGCCTGATATTTCCATTTGGGGTTCATGGCAAAAGAGGCAACAGGGAGGCGTCGAGAACGTAAACCCGAAGGTGATTTGGCCCGAGACCAAGTCATTGATTTGCAGGGCTGAATATCGCGAACTGTAAAGGCAACTCTGATATTCACGATGCTCACGATAACTCACCGATACTCATAACAATATAGACCCAAGACTTTGGATTGGCATGCGGCTATCGGAATTGGACCATGGAACTCATGAATAACTCTGGGATGATTCAGACTGACGAAACTGACGAATCTTGTCATCACCGACATTATGAAAAGATAAACTCCCCCCCCCCCGGGGAAGTCAAGCATCGGGGGCCTGTCAGGCTTTAAATAGGGCACAGTGACGCTACGTAGATGTGATCGTGAGATATCATGCAATTATGACCAAAATAACACCCAGCAGTTATACAAGGAAATCTATTCAAACATATCCTCTCTTATCTCAATCTATCTCAGCTAGAGCAACCCATCTCTCAAACTGTATCTTGCAATGGGTATAAGCCCTCCAAAATCTAGTTGAAAAGCGAAAATGTAAAAGCACCATGGCATATCCCCAAGGAATACATATGGCACTTGCTCAATGAGCATGTCCAATCTGCAAGAATAGCGGCAAGATCATGCCCAAAACAGATGCAATCAAGTCTCTCATGGACTTGTCCGATCCATTCTGGTCTCGGTCACCATATCCGTTGATAGGAAGTTCGCGGGGGGATGAGCCCGGGCCGTTTTCTTGCATGGTGTGCATCGCAACATACCTGAAACAGATTAATAAAAATGTCAATATAATTGGCGAAAGAAGACTCACAAAAAGGTACCCCCAGAGAAAAGCAGTAGCATTCCAGTGCGCCAGTGAGTGCCTGCCTCATCGGCACTGGAAGATCCCATCATCTGTACAAAGAGGAAAGTTGCCAAGGCACCGAAAGGAGCTGCCAGGCTGAAGACCAGCAAATGCGCTCTCGCGGTGCGACTTGACAGCCCTTGTTTGAGTAGGACGGATGTCAATCCGAAAGACGCAGGAGCCTTATGCACCATGATCGCCAAGAAGATAATGAAACTGAGCCCGGCATCCGAGCTGGAAGCGCCCAGAGCGATACCATCCGCCGCGGCGTGGATCACTAGGCCGGTCGTGGTCGCAAAGCTGTGACCACGTCTGGACGCGTGGTTCGCATCAAGTAGTCCACCCTCGCGCGATGGTGAGGAACCCCGCCGCAACCCAGATCCAAGGTTATCCAATGAGATATGGTAAGGAGTCCGTTCGCCCTTAGTCGGCGATGCGAATTCGGGCAGTTTATCGACCAGGTACATCAAAATGAAACCACTGATCAGAGCAATTCCGACCCACGCATGCGGCGAACTCTCCTCCTCTCCATGAATTGTGTCCTTGCCCGTTGTTTCATCCGTCGAATCCTCCTTTCGGACATAAAGTGTTTGCGACTCGGAGAGTTGGTCTCTTTCCAAAAGGAGACCCGGGACAGGGGTATCGGACGGTGGGTTTGAGGTGCTGTCTCCGTTGGAGCCAAAAGTGGCTGCCACGGCCGGGGCCTGGTGCTGCCATTCAATAGCGGTAGCCCGTGCACTGTGTTGTTTGCGAGTGAGAGAGTTTGCACTGTAGAGAGTTTCAATGCCCTCGGGGATAATCACGATCAGCGACGTCCCCACCAGAACGCCCATGCCAATGGACGATATTAAGCGGAGTTGAGAGGGGGACAGTGTAAAAGCCAGAGGTAATGAGCCGACGACAAAGGATCTGCCAATAATTCGGAGCATTAGCTTGGAGACAATTGAACCTTAGGCTTCCAAACACAGGTAGCTCACGTAATTGCCATCACAATGCTCAGGGCGAGCAGAGTGAATAGTCCCTCCATGATGATCTCGCAGGTCACTCTATAGGCTTTCTATCATGGTGAGGGAAACCGAAGAGAGGGTCCAGAGAGATTCTGGAGAAAGTGTGTGGTTGCGTAAGAGGCCAAGGTGTTGGAAGGATCCAGGTCGGGGGGACCCACGTAGTTCAGGTACCGCTTTCAAAACATACCAGGGGGAAGTATGTATAAAGAAAGTATGGACAACATATGGGTATTTGGAAGGGGTATTTTATTTGATAAGGCCCTTGAAAGCCATGCATATAGGGCTTAAGGCTGATTCTAGAACATGTTGTTACATTACCTAACTAACTAGTTATGTAGGTAAGTCTGTTCCCCAGCCACATCTGGCCTTACCGGACTATACAGGGCCGAGTGCAACCATTCCATTTTCTTGCTTGGATCCTTTCTGCATTTGTTCCCGTTTTATTTTCTATATTACTTTACTCCGTACTTTATGTCTATGGCCAAGAATCATCAACTCATGATTTAACGGTATAAATTGTTTAACGCAAGCCACTGTCGGCCACGTTTGCACATTGATACTCCACGCCGATGCAAAGAACCCGTGGACACAGCAGTCACCTATGCTCCATTAGAATACGTACATAATGCAAAGCTCACAGATCACAGATCAAAGGCAAATCTACCCCGCGACCCTTATCGCATCCGAATCTCGGAGTCGAGGCTACCATGTGCACCCTTTGGCAGTCGAAAGCCCAAGTACGGCAAATATCTTCCTGGGTGCCAGTAGACAAAAAGGGCAACACATGGATAGATACATAGGGCATCAAAGACATACAATGGCCACTCATGGGTGCTCAAATATCCCGTCGTGCCTTCGGTGAATTCCACAAGTTGATAGATAGACCGAACCTGGTACAAGTCAGCGAGCGAACAGCGGCTGAAGGCGGAGAACTGAAAAGAATTAATATCGTGGTGAGATTGACAACTCGCAACAGAGCAGGCCAGTTCTTATTTTTGACAACGCCACCAATGATGTACTCCTTCCCTCCAACATTCTCATACCTCTCACTCAGGGATCCAGTGAAGCGCTTGGAAGTGAAGTTGAAACGGACAGCTGCGACTGCGAACAAGCCAAAGGCAACCAGCTGGATAATGACACCTACTTGGGCAACGTGTTTCCCCGTGTTGAGCTTGTTTTTCACATCCTTGTCTGTGGCATCGACTGCAGAGATCATCACCGCACCGCCAAGCTGGAGCAGCAGAGCGATGATATCACACCCGACGAAGATAGGTGTAATGAATCGGGGAGGTGCCCAGCATAGTCGAAATGTACGTGCCTCTTGAGGAACGACGAGAAACAGAATGCGACTGAAGATAACATAGCAACACGCTGCCATGAGGACGGGTGCGAGGATGACGAGGGAAAATTGAAGAACGTAAACGGGTCTCTCCAATATGTTTTGGACTGAAACACATCGCCCAATGTATCCGATTGCTTCCACTGAGTTGTTGGTTAGCTTGGGTGAATGATAGACCGAATGCGTACGTACTGGCTGCTGATAGCACCATGATGCTCCAGACCCAGGCCCTGTACCGGATCCATTGTATAGCGGTCAACAGAAAGGCAACGGTGTACAAGACAGCAGCAACAATTGCCACTGCCAGGGACGGATCATAACCATAAAAGGAAGTTCTCGTCTCGCTGTGCGTAGCACGTTCAATGAGAGACATTGTAGATGTTTGATCTAGACCACGTCTGGAATGATTGAAAGTGAAATCTCTTGCTTCTCAGTGGTGTCTCTGGGGAAAAAAAGATGAGAACACCAAGATGGGAGTAGGGTGACTTTAATGGGGGAGCTCTGGCAAGTGCTGGACCTCTCAACCGCATGGCACTCGCTCGTTTGACGGTTTTCACTCTCTTCACTCTCTCTACTCTCTCACTCTTAACTCTCGATAGAAACTAACGAGATGTCTCAAGCCCTCCCAAAAATTTCAGATAATCGGGCTCACTTCATCCAGGTGTGAAAATGGAAAATGAATAGCAACTTAGCAATTTGCTACATATGTACTTTGTATATATGTTCTAGAGTAAACGGTGATACATATACCCAATTAGGTAAGGACGATGCCGCCAAAGTTGTAGTGGAGAGTCTAAGCCCCAGTCATCAGCACTACTCATATCCCCGAGGCCGATTCTCACGAACTCTTTGCCTTTTATAATTTAGTATGATATTCCCGCATCTACTCCGTACTCGGAGACAATATTAATGCCTTTCTCCGGTCATCCCAGCAAGGGCCATCACGATGTGCGTAGCACGTTCAATGGGGGACATCCATAGATGTGGATGTTTGATCTAGACACCCACACCTGGGATGACTGAAGTGAGATAGGGGTTAGGCAACTTTTTAATAGGGGAGCTCTGGTAAGTGCTAGGCCTCTCAACCATATAGCACTCGCCCGTTTCACTCTCCTCACTCTCAACTCTCAATGGAAACTATCGGGATGTCTTGAGCCCTCCTAGAGTTTTCAGATAACCGGGCTCAATTCCTCCAGGTGTGAGAACAAATGACAATTTTTAGCGATTTACTACGCAAATGTAGCTGTTGGTGCAATGGAAATGATACTCCGGCCATAAATTGTTATGTTATTGTATAGGCAATTGACTTTTGGTAGAGCAGGTCTTTGCGAAGTAATATAGCAGGGAACCGACCTTAGCAGCTTAGCATTGGTGCTCCGCACTTCTCACAGGGGCCTTCCGAGCCTAAATCCGGTGCAGGTAGGTTCCTAGCTCGGAAGCTAAGTGGTCCACCAACGATCACCGTTTGTTACAGGTCCCGTCGACAAGAATGGATTTCGTACCGTCTCGTCAAAACCCTTCATTGCCTTCGGGTCCCTATGTGTGTACCAGTCTCAACTGCGGCAAATACTTCCTGCGAAAAGAGCATCTCGATCGCCATATCGTTGTGCTCCGGAGCCGATCACTTCCCGCGGTAGTTTTACCGTCACCTTACTACTCGGGAAATCTTCGGTGTTTCTTGTCGAATAGATACCTAGGTTCATACCCACAAATTTCCTACCAAGGCGAATATACAACTCATTTCCAAGTTCAGGACAACTACTTGATCAACAGGTACCTAAGCTCATGCCAAACATATCCAGAGGTAACATGTAATTCATGTTTCTTAGCAACACGAACTGTCCGGAAATCCAGCTATCCAAGCTAGGGCATAACTGAAACACAAGTTGTTTTAGATTAAGAAAGGAGTAGTTTGATAGACCTCGAATTTATCTTCACTTAAGGTTCATTTCACGCACTTTGCTCTAATAAGGAAATAACGATCTTCTATTAATATTGCTAGGTTGGTCCTCCTTAAACGTCTGTCTTTTTGGCTTCAGTTTTGTCCTTGTTCATTCCTTTCTCTTGCCATATTTGTATTCATTTATGTTATCCTCCTCTTTGCAATGGTCGCCTTTCTTTCTTTCGTTATCCCTCTTCTCCCCCTTGTAGCAGGTTTTGTGCACCCTGGCCTCCTCGTCTCTAATAGCGATATCTCTCGCACCCAGAAAAAGATCAAGGCCAACCAGGATCCATGGACTACATCTTGGAATACCCTGACAAATCTCTCATTTTCTGACGCCAGCTACACTCCTTCCCCAGTTAGCGCTGTCTATCGGGGTACCTGGGAAGACCATACCGCAAACGCAGAGCTCCTCTGGCATGACGTCGCGGCAGCTTTCAATCTAGGCCTACGCTGGAAGATATCCCGAAACACGAGCTTCGCCGATGCCGCTAGTAATATCCTACATGCATGGGCAACCACTCTCACTGCAATCGACGGTGGCGACGACAAGTACCTCACAGCTGGCCTGCAGGGGTACGAACTCGCCAACGCAGCCGAACTCCTTCGCGACTATCAGCCCTTTGTGGACAATGTCCTCCCAGCTGTTGTAGAAATGGCGAATAATATCTTCATCCCGATGCACTACACATGGCTGAACCACGAAGAGCCGTCGGAGCATAATATTCTTCATTTCTTCGCAAACTGGGAGTTGTGCAATGTCGCTTCGGCGATGGCTATGGCTGTCATAACCGATAACCAAACAGTGTGGGATTTCGCCGTGAATTACTTCAAGGCCGGAGATGGAACGGGCGCGATCAACAATGCCATCGTCAATATCGTTGAGGAGCCTGGTACTGGGGCTTTACTCGGCCAAGGCCAAGAATCCGGTCGTGACCAGGGCCACTCAGCATTAGACATACAACTTCTCGGTGTTATCGGGCAGCAGGCCTGGAACCAAGGAGAGGATTTGTTTGCCTATAATGATAGCCGGATTCTCCGTGGGTAAGTACCATCCAACCGTTTCCGCCTTATCAATTACTCATATATCGCCCTAGGACGGAGTACTTTGCGCGATACAACCTTGGAAACGACGTTCCATTTGTCGACTACACGAACGGTATAGTCAGCCACACAGAGATCAGTAGTGCCTCTCGTGGAGCCATTAGACCTACGTGGGAGCTTCTCTACAGCCATTATGTCATGATGAAGCGAATGGACGCACCTTGGACCACTTTATACCTCAACAACTCTCTTGACTATTACCGCGGTGCGGAGGGTGGTGCGGGCTCCTGGGGAGAAGGGTCTGGCCATTACGATGGGTTAGGCTGGGGATCATTGCTCTATCACATGGATGAGTCTGATGTGGTGGCTGCATTCTCCTCCAAATCTGCTTCACCTACGGCAAATCCCACACCAACGGTGTCCACTAAATTGAACTGGGCTGCTAGCGCAACGACTACAACTTCTAGCGTATCCAGCCAAAGTGTGCTTGTTTCGAGCTCAACCACCACAAACTTTGCTACCGTGTCTACCACTTCGGGCACCGAATCATTTGCATCATCAACTATTGCAAACAACAGCAGGACTCCCCAATCTTCTGTGACCAGTACAACCTCAGCCGGCATATCGACAACTTTGCCCACTGCATCACTTGATAGGTCACAGGAAGCTCATTATCATCATCATAGTCATCATCAGCATCATCACGTGGAGGAGGGCCAGGCACTTGGTGCTTGCCACGCATAATACGTCTACATTTAGATGCCCAAAAAGGGCTTCTTCAAGCGCTAACCCTGCGCGAGTTCTTTTTGCCTGGTGCATTTCCTAATTTAGCCGGTCAACTCCTTATTTTATGTATATAATTTTCCCTATACATATGTATTTGTCAACCTGGTCCGTTAGTGTTGTGTTTGTTGCACCGAATCTTTCCACGACTCCGGGAGTCGAAGTCCTATCTCGAGGGTTTCCAAGGAGAGCCTGTTTCAAGAATTACGCGCAACTAATTAGGCGCCCAGATATGTCTGCAAAAGCTTGATTGACATAGCCGCAATCAAATGCAATGATTAATATTCCGATGTGTCCGCGGCATGTACTCCGTATGTCGTAAACTAAATGATGAAACAGATACCCAATTAGGAAAGGCCGATGCCAAGAATCTACCAAAGTGGGGAGTCTAAACCCCCCATCGACTCATCTCCCCAGGCTGATTCTCACGAATTCTTTGCCTATTTAGAATTTAATATGAGACGCTTGCATCTACTCAGATACAATGCCTTTCTACGGTCGTCCTAGTAAAGGTTGCTGCAGTTGTCGGGAAAGACGGATAAAGGCAAGTGGCATGGCCTAACACCAGACCAATTGTAGACTGACATGGTTAGTGTGATCGGCTTGAGCCCGTGTGTTCCCAATGCAGGAGAGCAGGCAAGCCATGTGGCGGCTATCGGGACGTGCCGTCTTTTATGTTCCGCGATGAGAATGATAAGGCGGCTCGACGAAGTGCAGAAGCAAAAGCTAAGACCGAGGCCCGTCGAAGATTGGAGGATAGTGCAGGTCTAGAATCTGATATATCTACTTCTGACTCGCGGGCCGATCGTTCGCCATCGGATGCGCTAGTCTGTCGGAGCAAGGGCCAATCGATCCTGGCTCCGAGAATTACTGCCCCGCTGTCCATCCCATTGGAGGATCAGGGGTTGAGGTTCTTTGTTAACCGTTTTGTGACACGGATGGCCAGCAGAACAAATGTCTCTCTACATGCAAGTATTGTGCAGCCGTCTCCTCATTTTGGAGCCGTTGCTCTCGATCAGTCGAGTCGAGATGCTGTCGTCTCGGTTGGTCTTGCTGCCTTGTCCAATGTCAATAATGATAGAGCACTGCGGATATTGTCTCGAGAGAAACACGCCATGGTCATAAAAGCCGTGCGAGAAGTAGTGGAGAACCCCGCTCAGGCCAATCCCGACAGAACATTCCACTTGATCTTAATGCTGGGTCTATACGAGGTACGCTCGTCCAATTGACCGATTTTACTTGCACTTTAATAATTGCAGCCAACTGACCTGCGCAGATGGTCAGCTGTACTCCTAACCAGCTCGACTCTTGGATAGTACATCTGGATGCTGCCGCTGCTTTGCTTAAACAATCCACCTTTCGGCTATCACTCACGAACTTGAACCACCGAGCCCACTTACAATTCTACTTTGTTGTAATTGTCAAGTATTTCTCTAAGAGGGTTGTGAGCCCGAATCTACTGAACTGGTCCCCTGATCTAATACCCTCTGCTCCACCAGAGATCTTACCAGGCGTCCATCTTGTTGACATACTGATAAGATTCACAAAGTTCGATGTATATGTGCATCACCGAAAGCCCGACGCCAGAGCAGTAGTAAACTCAGCGCTATTGTTTGAAGATGAACTCCGCGAGTGGGAAGCCCACCTCCCATTACACTGGTCCTTCACTGTGAAAGAATCCAAGACATGCGAGCACACCTATCGTGGCCAGTATCATGTCTACAAGGACATGTGGGTTGCGATAATTTTCAACCACTACCGTTGGGCACGACTGGTAGTCAACGAGACCATCGTATCCCAAATTTCTATGATGGCACGACCCACAGGAAACGATGTGATTCAACGGCAGCAAGCATTGGACATAATTTCTTGCATGGCAATTGACATATGCGCCGGAGCTGCAAGTCAGGAAGCTATCTCCGAGAGAGGAGTTGCCGAAGACCCATCACATATACCACTGTTAAATGGTACCTTCATGCTGCTTTTCCCATTAGGAGTTGCCGGAGGCGCGGCGGGGACTCCCGATGAAGTTCATGATTGGGTTGTTGGAACGTTTGAACGAATAGGATGTACGACGGGGATCCGGCGAGCTTTGGAAATGATACCCCATCTGAAGAAATCAGTCGGTAAATGGAAACTAGATCAGAAGCGGTGGAACAGCATGCACGAGTATAAATGAAAGTTAGGCAGAAAGGCAGCCTGCAAACCTCATTCTGGATATGATCTTCTCCTACTCGTCGCACTAAGATGTGTTCGGGAATGTTTTGGCAAGCTGGATGGGGTACAGCGAGATATAGCGGCATACTACACAAACTTTAGAAGATCACCTTCTAATTAAAGCCAAGCTGAAGTGAAACCGAAGCGAACTGCCTCATTCTTCTACATTATTCGTTTTCAGGCTGTACGGGGCGCGTTGGTCGTTATATGCAAATACTTCCGAATCAGAGGCATCCAAAATGCATGCATAAACTGGGGAACATAGAATATTTTTCCTTACGCAGTCTCTCATTGAAAAACTATCCACGGATTGAATCCTGGGGACTACATGTATGTATGTACGGAGGTACTCCCTAGGTAGGCGGGCCATATATCCAGATTAGGTAATACTGATTCGCGCCTGGGCCGGGGCGCGTATTCGCGTCTCTCTTTAGACCTCAGACCTTCTATTGTCTTATTTGACATTCAAATTCCACATATCCTGTCAAAATGGCGAGCGAAGCTGGATGTGAGTTTATAATCTCCCACTATCTGATTCTGCCAAGATATAAGCTGATTGATATTCACTTTAGGGTCTTGCGACGCCAACGATGCGGTCCATGTTACTGTCATTCAACCCGGCGAGAAGAAGCCGAAAACACTTTCAACGTTCCACCCCCAATTTACCTATCCTATTTTTGGCGACGATGAGCAGATCTTCGGCTACAGAGGCTTGATTATCCGTTTGCGCTTTGCGGCCCATGATTTGCGCCCTCATGTTCACATCTCGTACGACGAGAAGTTCAAGTCGGTCGGTGACACAGCTGCTGTCGATCTTCTCGATACTTTGAAACCTTTTGTCCAGCAAGGTGAGCTCAATATTTGCGACAACATGTGCGATATAAGCTAACGGTTTTGCGCAGAGGCGTTCGCCAATCTCCAAGACTATGAGAACGCTGTTCAAAACGACACAGGCGCGAAAGATTTCAAGCCCCCGGGCGAGTTTGTCATCGGCTACGAGGTCGATGACAGAAAATATGAGGTCTGGGCCGGATCACTTGCAGACCCAGAAGTACGGAAAATTCTGGATCGCATGCAGGTTCTCGTCTCCCTCTTCATTGAAGCCGGAACTCCCCTAGAGACAGATGACCCAGAGTGGACGCTCGACCGGTGGAGGGTATATTTCGTGTATGCTTTTCTTTCGTGCTGGTATCCGTGACGTGAGACTAATTAAATTTACAGATATGAGAAGGTGACTCCTCCAACACCAACAGGATCATCATATTCGATCGTTGGATATGCCACAACGTACCGCTATTGGTATTATCAGCGGGATCAATCACAAATTCCCACAGTCAAGAACGACGAGTTCCCGCCACCAGAAGTCAAAATTTCTGAGCTTCCTGCACGGATCCGCATTGCCCAGTTCCTTATTCTCCCTTCACACCACCGCTCCGGTCACGGCACACACCTATATACCACAATTCACGCGGCCTGCATCGCAGACCCAACCATTTTAGAATTGACCATTGAAGATCCCAATGAACAATTCGATGCACTGCGGGACACAGCCGATTATTGTCTGCTGCAGCCGGAGTTCCTGAAGCACAACGTGAATCTCAACCCCGACCCCCTCGGAGCGTATTCTCAAAAGAAACGCCCTCGCAATGTGCCCACTTCCGCCCTCATCCCCACCAAACTTCTCCACGATATCCGCAAATCGTTCAAGATCGAACCTACACAGTTCGCACATGTTCTGGAGATGTACCTTCTCGGCCAGATTCCTCAAAGCCACCGCCTGGCCGGCGGCACAAATCTCGCTCGACTGTTGATCAAGAAGTTCAAGGCTGAAAATGAGGATGACCGACGCTACTACTGGTGGCGTATGCTAACCAAGCAACGTCTCTATAAAAAACACAAAGAACTTTTGAATGAACTGGAACTTCTAGACCGGGTGGAGAAACTTGATGCTACTGTCCAAAATGTGGAGGAAGGTTACGAGATCACATTGGATGCGCTCGAGGGCCGCTTGCCAGAAGGAGGTGAATCGGATGAAGAGGCAGAGGCAAATGACCAGGCTAGTAAGCCTCCTACCGGTAGCCGAGACCGGCGTGTCAAGCGCAAGCTCACAATTATGGATGATGATGATGACGAGGAGGAGGACGGGACCGAACTAGCTAAGCGACCAAGGGTTTAAAAGCCTTGCGGTGGTCAGCTATCTTATGTACTATGTAATGCACACGATGGTGTTGTTTTTGAAGCATTCAACAGTTTAGTCTTATACACGGTTCTCCAATATGTGTACAACTTCAGAAAGCTCAATTCTAGTCGATACTCACTAATTTATGTTACCGAAAGCTCTTCATACTGGTAGATCTTTGGATTTGATACGTGGAATCGTAAATGTAAATGGAAAAATATAAAATTAAAAAGCCATTTGAGAGTTGAAAAGTTCCTTGCATGTGTAGATGGTCACCCAAGCCACATTTGGGCTCGGCACTTCCCTTTTTCCGGCTTCCTCATCGCATCTCTTGGAGCTTGAATCCATTGCTACTCTCAACATCCCCAGATAAATCAACAGGCCCCTTCATTAGGGTTTAATTTCGCTATTCAATCCATAGGTCACAGACTTTGGACCTACGCAGCAACCCGCGCTCTTTCAACTCTGTGCGCCAACTGATCCTCCCACCTTCACCCACCTCGTCGATCGCATTCCAAAATGGTAAGCTCCAGCTTTACCCAAACGCTTTTTCTGATACCTGTACTAAGTCAATTTTTGATCAGTTGCCTCTCGGTCTCCTCACGGCCGCACAGGGCCACCCCATGCTGGTGGAACTGAAGAACGGCGAAACTCTGAACGGCCACCTGGTTACGTGCGATAACTTCATGAACCTGATTCTGCGCGAGGTAGTGCAGACGAGTCCTGAGGGCGACCGCTTCTTCAGACTACCCGAAGTCTACATCCGGGGCAACAACGTAAGCCCTCTGACGAGCAATCAATTCAGGGCCCCGCTCTTTTGCTATATACTAACAACCCACCAGATCAAATACCTACGAGTTCCCGAAGAGATTGTCGAGATTGTCAAAGAGCAGCAACAGAACCAACCACAAGGCCGTCGCGGCGGGCGAGACGGTGATCGTGGCCGCGGTCGTGGTCGGGGTGGTGGTGGTGGTGGCGGCCGGGGTGGACGTGGTCGGGGACGAGGCGGCCCCAATTAGACATAGGCTTGTTCTGCATCAATGATTTTAAGAAGACGGCAAACGAGATACCCCCGGAGGAGACGGTGGTAAGGTCGCTCGGAAGGTCCGGTGGAACGGTTTGATCGAGCATGGCCGTGGCGTATCTGGCTCTGTATTTTCACGGCATCTGGGTCATTTGGTCGATTTACAACTACCTCTAAATGTTATATTCCAAAAACCCAAACCAGACCTACGTATTTCTCTGTAAACCCCGTGCAATTCAAGATGCGAATATTCGGGGATGTCACGTGATATCAAACTCCAGATCAAATCCGCGGAGGCTAAGCTTCCGATCAGTTAGCCACAAGCGGATATGTCGCGGCGGGCGTTGGTCCTCGATGGCCTATGGTACTCTCTGTGTCCGTCATTTACAGCTCTGAGCCTCAGTCGATCAACAGCATTCCCCAAATCCAAGGGACGAAACCCGAGACTATATCAACTACCTTCGATTTCTAGCCCGAGCTCGGGTTCGCGCCGATGCTACAACACCTCAGGCGGCGATAGTTCCAAATTCTCATATAATGCAGCACATCATAATGATCGGAGCGAAGCACGGGAGCCGCGCGAGAATGAATACCGTGACGCTCGCCTGTCTCCGGATTCAACATACGCCAGGCCACCCACACGACGAAAAGACCCGCTATACACACGAACACATAAGGTGCAAGATGACCTCCTAGGAAAAACGAACGAAGGGCTAGAGTCCCGATTGCAATATGCAATGGACAACAAGCCCAACATTCGTCACATAACGCAGATCCTGCGACTGCTCATTCGGGACCGTCATGTCCAGCCGAATGCTCGCCACTACAAGGCGCTGATCCTTGCAAATACCGATAACGAGAGGGGCTCACCGCAGCTTGTGCGCGGTCTTCTGGAGGAGATGGAGAATAATGGTATCACCGCGGACTCTGGCACACTCCACGGCGCATTGCAGGTAGGTTATCCGGTTGAACCGAGCTATATATGCACAGCGAAGCTAACGATTCAATTTCCAATACAGGTCCTCGCTGTACATCCAGACTACCTCCTACGACAGGAAATCCTCAACAAGCTCCGAGACCGGTGGCTCACGCTGAGCCCAGCCGGGTGGCATTTTGTGGCGGCTGGTCTTCTCCGCGAGAACCAGATCGAGCTCGCGCTCGAGCATGTTGCATTGATGGGGCGCAAGGATATATTTGTGGAAAATTGGCTACACAGTATAATTGTCTACACGCTCTGCGACCATGGAGAGTTGGATGAGGTGTACAACGTGATGCGTGCGCGCGTCGACCAGGGCCACGACATGACCCATCGGCTTTGGATGCACGTGTTGACCGAGGCAGGGAGGCAGGGCCATTATCCTATGGCACACTACGTGTGGCGACGGATGGTCGAACTGGGCTACATGCATCCACTAATTGAAGTCTGCGATGACGTATTGAAAATGGCTGCAAATGCTGGTGATACAGAGATGGCGAGCTCTGTGTTCCGCTACCTTCGTGAGAGCGGGATCTCGCTCGAGCGCACACAGTATGAAAGACTTGTCGAGACGCATGTGGCAGCAGGTGATCTGCCTGCTGCGTTTGAAGCGCTTTGCACCATGCACGAAGCTCAGATTCCTCTGGCGGATAGCTCTACGGAGCGTGTTCTCGCGCACATGATACAGAGTAAAGTGGATCGTCGGGAAGCGTGGCAGATTCTCAAGCGGTTGAAGAATGCGAAACGAACTATTCCCATCGACTCTGTCCGTGTTATCGCGGATCTCTGTGAACACGATGCTCATGACGATCCATCTGTGGTGGATGACGGTGTTGGGTTCTACAAAGAGCTCTATACGTTATGCCCCGAAGGCGCGGACGTGCGAGTGTACAACGCGCTAATTCGGATGTGCCGAACGGCCCGCAACCGCGAATCGGGCATGTTCCTGGTGAAAGAGATGGCGTCACTTGGGGTGGTACCGAACGGTGTAACTTTCGAGTCTATCATTCTGATGTGTCTGGATGCGGGAAATTTCCGGTCCGGTTTCATGTACTTCCAGGACCTGATGAAGCGGGACACCAGACTCAGCCCTGAAACGCAGGAGGAAATCCGTGAGATCTGTGCCGGGTCTGTGGACGAGTTTGCGATGCGACTGCAGTATCACCCCTTCATTCGAGACGATGTGAGGAAGCTAGATGAGGAGCTGCAGCAGAAACAGAAGGAAAGGGAAGCGAACGAGCAAGCTGGTCGCCACCCTGTACCCCCTGCGGTTCGTCGGCTGAACATGTCAGACGAGCAGCGACGTGATTACAACAAAGAGCGTCGAAAGAAGAAACGACGCCGCCTCGCCATTGAGCAAAATATGAGAGAGGAGGGTTGGGATGAATGGGAAGCCGGTGGCACCGACAATGGCTCTGCCAAGTCCGAGTGAAATTGTGAAACTGGAATCCTTTCGATGTCCTTTGGGGATATGTTTCAATCTCGATCAGAATATTCATTTCCTTGACGGCATGTTGCCTGGATTATGCAGCTAATGCAAGCCACACAATCCCCCAGGAACACCAATATCCTTTCTGGGCATGTCACACAACTTTCGACCTCGGTCAGTATGTATATATCCTGTACTATAATCCTCTTCGCACTTGTATTACCTACATCTTTGCCCCAGCATTATAGCAAACTTGATTTGCCTGTTCTGTTCTCAAATCATCACAAAAAGAAACCCCTGGGGCCGCCTTGAACCATAGACCCTGTTCCCTGTTGGTGGATCCCTGTACTATAAATAGTCGGACTGAAAGACCTTGATGACGATCATGGGGTAAATGTCGCACAGTAAGACCTTTATGAATGTCAAACAGCGATTGATTCGATGATTCGAAGGTCGAGAAATCAAGCAAGTTTTATTGTAGTATTGATTATTGAATGGACATTCACAACATTCCCCTGAAAGTGATCGGCGTAGGTTTCCGAGTGCCAAGGGCTCCCGTCGGGAAGGGTAAAACGCCTCCTCTTTAACTATATAATTCCCTCCCTCTCCCCTCCTTATTATTCTATCTATCCAACTACTCAATTGTTTATTTGAACATACTCTTTTCTACCCAAAAGAAAACCTATTTAATAATTCAAAATGCAACTCACCACCATCCTCCCAATCGTCCTAGCAGGCCTAGTCACCGCACGCCCCGCCGCCCTACAGTCCAAGACAATCACGGACGACATCATCTGGAGCGTATCCAACTTCACCGTGGGCTGTTCCCAAGGCGGCTGCGTCTACAGATATGATATTGTCGGCCGCGAGAACGAAATGACCCCCAAGTTCCGCACCCACTGCAGCGGCATCACAGGCCAGAAGCTCGACTGTGACGACAAGAATATCACAACCATTGTTTCTCCTGCCGCAAACCCAGACTGGAATGTCGATGTCACCCACACCTGGAGATCCCGGCTCAGTGACAATACCCTCGCGACTTGGTTCCAGAATGGCGCGAAGAATGTTACCGTCCCTGACTACAACCCCATTCAGTTTGTTATGAGGCCTACTCAGGAGTACGGTATTGCCTAAATTGCTACCAGTCTTGACCTATGACTCTTTTTTAATTGGAAGGATTTGGCTGTTTGTTTTAATGTAATGGATGGTCTCAATGGGTCTGGTCTCTTTTGATGAAACATGCGACATGTGGCTCAATTGGAAATTTCTGGGATTTTCTGATGGAAATATTTTGTGTACTTAGTTTGAGACTGTACGATGTACAAAGTAATTGAACTTGTTGCTACAATAGTATATAATAGGTCAGTCGTAGGATATACAAAGTAGTAGATAGTACCTGGGTAGCCCTGTGGAGAGCACCAGGGCTTAATTGACCCGGTGACATCATCCGCTGCGCCTCGAAAATAACTCCCCGTGCTTGCTTTGCTTTGGATTGTATATTGTCTTTTCTGTCACATATTTCTGGTGGAATACACAACTTATAAATACTTATATACTCTGCAAATGGTAAGCCAGCTCCATCTCAATAACCTTCCAACTGCTAACCTTGGAATATCCTCAGTCATCAATTCTCCGCCAGATAGTCGCTGGTCCAAGACTACAACACCCAGAAGCAGGGCTAGATCTCTGCTATGTGACAGACAATGGTAACATACTCATCAATTTCATGCCAAAACATACACCCTTATTGACATAATCCACAGTCATCGCAACCTCCGGACCATCATCAACATACCCAAAGCGCGCCTACCGCAACCCACTAGACGCACTGGTCAACTTCCTCGACACGAAACATGGCGCAAACTGGTGCATCTGGGAATTCCGCGCCGAAGGCACAGGATACCCAGACTCAGAGGTCTACGGGCGCATCCACCATTTCCCCTGGCCAGACCACCACCCACCGCCATTCGCGCATATTCCGAACATAATGGGCAGCATGCGGAACTGGCTACAGCGACTAGACGAGGAAAAAGTCTCACCAGACACGGACAATAACGAACGGGTCGCCGTCGTGCACTGCAAAGCAGGCAAAGGGCGCAGCGGGACGATCGCGTGCGCATACCTGATTAGCCAGGAGGGGTGGAAGAAGGAGGACGCGCTGCAGCGGTTTACGGATCGGCGCATGCGGGTCGGATTCGGAAACGGCGTCAGCATCCCCAGCCAGCTGCGGTATGTCGGGTATATCGATAAGTGGGCGAACCAGATGGGGAAGCAGTATGTCGAGCGGCCAGTGGAGATACTGGAAGTTCATATCTGGGGGTTGAGGGATGGAGTTAAGGTTGCGGTGGAGGGGTATGTGGATGAGGGGAAGAAGATTAAATGTTTTCATATGTTCCATCGGAATGAGCGTACCATCGTTGAAGACGGGGGCTCGACGTCTGAGGAACAAGAGGCTCCCACGTCAAATCCCAACTCGGACCCCAAGATCAAGAATCCAATCCCGTCGTCTGCGACCTGGTCCCCCATGGTATCAGGATCAGACGTCTCCGGCTCATCGTCCTCAGTGGGCAACAATGTCTCAGCAATGATCTTCAAACCCAACAACCCAGTCATTGTCCCCAGCTCGGATGTGAACATCGACTTCGAGCGCCGCAGCAAAGCATCCTACACCGGCTTCGCGATGGTAACCTCCATCGCGCACGTATGGTTCAACCCCTACTTCGAAGGCGGAGCCGAGCACGACTCGGGCGTCTTCGAGACAGAATGGGACGCGATGGATGGGATCAAGGGGAGCGCGAGAAAGGGGATACGGGCGTTAGACAAGCTGAAAGTTGTATGGCGGTATCCTGCGGCAGAGACCGTGGAAGCCAGTGCAGCTAGCAAGAGCAAGGGGGAAGGGAAGAAGAGCGAGAATAGCCTGCCGGTAGCGGGGAGGCCGATCAGCGAGCCCAGACCTGGTGATCCCATCCATGAAAGCGAGCCGCCTGACTGGCGCGGACTGCCGCAGGGAGATAAGAAGGAGAACCGGTCTCCTTCCGAGAGTTCGTCGCAGAAAAGTATTGCTGCGAGCATCTCGGACAAGACTAAGGAGCTGGGACATACCCTGGAGAAGGAACTTGGACTGCGGAAGCAGACGGGTGATAGTCGGGATGTTAGTCTTGCTGGGAGCGATGATGAGACAACCACTACCACCGATGATGAGGGCCGGAAGGTCAAAGTTAAGAAGGCGCATAGTGAAGGGCTTGAGGGGATGAAGACGAATTATGCGAAGAATGGGGAGGGAGGAGGATAAAACAAATCAGAGCTATATGAGTCGAGTGGGAAATAGTATTAGCTAGAGCGCTGGAGCTTGTACAATTGCATAAGTAATACATAGTGCATAGTGCATTTATAAATATCAAAAGGTTATACATAGAAAAGTCGTCTGCACAGTTTGAGCATTTTTTCCGCCTCTCTTTCTACTGTCTACATGTAGCTATAAAGCTGAGGAGAAGATATCTTAAAAAAGACTACCAAAAACACATACCAGGCCGTATAAGCGGCCGATTATTCTTGTACCATTGAATTGAATATTTTATGCTTGATTGTTGTCACAGGTCGTTTACTCTGTACTATACATAAATGAAGGGATATCGCAGCTCGCTAGGAATGTGATGGGTGTGGAATCTAGATATGCCAGGTTTTATCTAACACAAACCAATACGAAAAATGAAAATGAAAGGAAAGGACAGGGGTATGCGAGGGTTAAATGTCAAAAAAACGCCATCTATATTCACAACGGCGTGGTTTTAAATTCAGCTTCAACCAGAGTCAGGTTTCATCCGGTGATAGCTGACTGGGGTAAAAGAGCGCAGCATCAAGGCACAAAGCCTTCCATCTTCTTCCGAATCTCTGCCGCCTCCTTCTGCAGTCGATCGGATTTCTTGCGCTCATAGACAGCACGGATAACGCGGCGAGTCTGCTCTTCACCCTCAGAGAAGTTTGCCTTCGCAAGACCAACGACGGAATCAATCTGCTCAGGGGTATAGATGAAGTTCCAAGTAGACAGGAAATCATCAACTTCAGGGTCGATCGAGTTGGGCTGGGGAGCGAGGGGCAATTCTGGGTCTTCGGTTTGAGAGCTATCCTGTCGCATGGACTGAGCAGCCGAAAGTGGACGAATCTTAGGTTTGGGAGGGATGTTTGGTGCGGAAGGGTTGGGAATCAGAGGGAAGTAGATAACCGCGATGCCGGCATCTGGGCGCATCAGGTGAAACTCGGATTCAGAATTATCTTCGCTGTTGGGAGAACCAAAGAGGCGTTTGGATGGCGGAGGCTCGTCGTTCGAGGTTCGCTCTTCCGTGGTGCCGACCCAAACGTTGCAATAGCCCAGGTCTGTGCCGGACTTGGGTTTTTGATCAGCGGGCTGCTTTCCAGATTTGTTCTTGGCGTCCGCGAGTTTCTCCGTTAATTGCTCATCGGTGATGTTCTCTGGCTCGCGCAGGGCGTTCTCGGTATCCTTGAGGTTCGAATTTTTAGGCCATCCGGCGCCGACGGGCCAACCCTTGATACCACGTTGTCTGGCGTAACCATCGACCACAGAAAGCCAGTTCTCCTGCTTGACGTCTGCAGACGCATCAAATGCGACAATTACGTCGACATCGCGCCCAGGTCGAATGAGTGGGTAGATGGGCAGGTTGTTACTCATTCCCGCATCCATGAGACGCAGGTGCTTGTTTCGGAAGATCGACTCTGGACAGGAGTCGGGCAGCTGATCTTTCATGCCCATGACATAGTTGGGTATACCCGCAGGGTCGATGGGATGCACTTTGATCAAATCTCGGTTTTTGCCTTGAATGAGAGAATCGATCCCACCAAATCCAGCCAGGCCTCTGACCAGAGGCCGGATCTCCTTGTAATAGTGAGACAAAGTCGCGCAGAAAGCGCTACCCCAAACACCCATGAGCCCGGGAATTCTGATCTCCGGGATGGGGATGTTTTCGTCGGAAACCTCAGAGCGGCCTGCGTTGAAGTGACGTCCCATAGCCCAGGTGGGAATACCGGCGTTGAATTCTTCACAAAAGAATTCGTAAGGAGTGAACTCAAACCACTGGAACCATGCTTCATTTCGTGACTCTTTCACCAGCTGTTCAGGCGTTGGATGCTCCTTGGTCTGGTCGTTTTCGTGTTTGAGAACCTCTACAGGAATCTCATGTCGCACCGCCGTGTAGATGGGAAGCGGATGAGCCCCGTTGACCAAATTGGCTCGCTGGTTCGACAGCTTAAAATCCACATCGGAGACTCCCAGTTCTCCTCGCGGGACCAAGAGTCTTCCTGCGAGAAGCAATCCATAAATATCTACCAACCCAAAGTCCGCCCCAGGGTCACCTTTCAGCTTTTCCACAAAACCACTGAGAAGGTACTTGTTTGTCGGAGCAGTAGTGAGGAGATTAAGAGCTGCTGGCGGGAATGCAATGTGAACACCGAGACGATTCTTCAAATGGTCGACGAGCTTGTCGAAGTCTCGCTGCGCAATGGACGAATGATAAAGGGTCTGTAGCCAGCAGCTGCCACTGACACCGGCTGTGTAGGTAATACAGTCCCACAGCCCTGCTTCCTGTGCCGCCAGGTACGATCCGGTGCCTGCAACTAGAGCGCGCAGACCACCTCCCGAGCCACACATCGCAATAACCGGTACATCTTCGGGTTGGATGTCCTCCTCGGGTATGTTCAGGTAGGATGACAATGCTTTGACAACCTTCCGTTGCCGTTGCTGTCTAAATTCCTGCTCTTCGTCGCAGAGATCCCCACTTACTCGTACCTCAGCGTCGCGAAGAATCTCAGGGTTGATATCAGGATCCCGTGCCTCCTTCCAGATGTCGTCTGCCAATGAGCCGGGAGACAGGGAGAGCTCTCGCTGGAGCTTTTGGGCAGTAGCTGGTAGAAATCGTGTCCAGTCCGGGATGATGTAGTCTGTGATGCTACCCACATCTGCCCACTCACCGGAGGAAACAGTATGCTTAACCTCATCGAGCTTGTGGCCGATGTTGTTCCAGATGGATCCATCGTCCTTGCCCTCCTCGCCAAGTCTATCTGAGCCCGCATTGGACTTGCTAGACTCCGAATCATTGTTGTATCGTGTTCGAGAAGTAGTGGAGTGATCTCTTGATTGTCTAGGTTGAGACCATTCCCCCGCAGTGTATGCAGCTAGGGCAGCGGGGGGTACCGTCCACAGACGAGTGACCCTTGCAGCGCCCATTGTAGAGAGGAGCTTAGGACAGAGTAAGAGGCCTGCTGCATCCAGTGGGATCCATTGAAGGACACCCCAGACCCTGCCTGCCTTTTCTTGGAAGCCAGCCGTTAACAGCCCCCGGTGCATGACGTCGTATATTCACGTGATTTACCAGCACGTGACAGGGCCGGACTGGGCTGCAGGCTTCTTTCGGACTAGCGTGGCGGAGCTCCTTATCACTGGATGGAGCTCGGAGGGGACAATCAATCTATTCCATATGCCCCGAAAGGACATGAGGGGTCCTGGTGACATGTGATATGGTCTCTCTGGACTGATTTTACCTGTACTACATTTCTCTCGCAATTCACCATGGTGGCGCCAAGGAATACCGCCTACGCCGAGGAGAGCGCGGAGGTCGAGGTCCTGTATGCCAACCTAGAGAAGCTCAACCGACTCACGAAGAAAATACAAGGCTCCATGGTACGCCTGGAGACAGGAGGAAAAGTTGTCAAAGAAGCCATTGGTCCCATCTATAGCAACACCCAATCCCTTCAAATCACCAACAGCAATATCGACAAGGTCAACGACGCCATCGATCGCCTGCGCCAACCTCTCGATGCAAAGAACCGAGAAAGTGACATCATTCGCGCAGGGTATGTGTCTTTCTACTCTCCTTGGACATACAACCCTGAGTCTTTTGCTGACCGTTCTCCAGACCGCAGAGCTCCGGCCTCACGCAGTACCTGTCGGCGATGAAACGTGTTGAAAAGGCGCTGGTCGACCTCAACACAACAAACCTACGATCAAACCAGAATGCGATAACCGACTTCAATTCTCTTCTAAACACTGGAAGCGCAAAACTCCAAGAACTGCTACGGGGAGAACTGAGCCAGCATGCCACTCCGGTTGAGCCCCTACACTATCTGACCAAGGGTACGTCTATTATGACTTAAACGACCTAGATCAAATCTAATGCGCGACGCTTCTAGATCTCCCCTTTCCATCCATCCCCGAAGAAACTATCTCCCATATGGCGCCCTTGTGCTCGGCAGTCGGCTCCGCATCCATTCATGGATCTCAGCGCGGCAAGGGGGACAACCCCGCGCTGAAGGTGTATGCGGAGGTACGAGGACCATACATTGCATCTAGCTTGCAGAATCTCGCCATTGCATCCCTCAATACCGTCAAACGGCGAGCCACCGATGGCCCTTACAAGCAGGGTACCAATGGTATTGGCATCTACTCCAATGCGCTGGAGGCCTTTATAACTACTGAACATGGTATTATCGTGCAGATGTTCACTGGAGATCAGCAGGGCCTGGCGTTGCAGGCTACATTCTTCCCGGCGATGGGCGAATACTCCAAAACACTGCGTGAGCTCAACCAGTATATAAAGGCCAATCTGATGACGGACTGCTTCTTGGCTTTTGAGATCATCGAAATTGTGACTGCAATGTCCTATCGGATTGACTCCAAGGCCGCGGAATTAAAGAGCCTCTTGATTGAGGCTCTTCGGCCTGTACGCGAGACTGCAAAGTCGTCTCTTTCCGAATTGCTCGAGGAAACCAAGCGCAAAGCTGCTACCACGCCACTCCCACCGGACGGTGGATCGGTAGCTCTTGTAGAGGAAGTGATGAGCTCATTGGCCACACTGACAGGATACTCAGGTCCTTTGGCTTCTATCCTGACATCTTTGGGGGATGGAAACTGGCGGGCCAAGTCCCACACCGCCGGCTCGGCTCCTCTAGATGTAGGTCCAGACAGCAGCACACTTCTGTCGCATTTTATTCTAGATATGATCGAGGCTTTGATGACCTCCCTGGAAGCTCGAGGTCGGGCTTTCCATCGATCCAAGGCAGCGCTTGGTGTGTTCTTGTCCAACGTGTTCTGCGTGGTCGACCGGTCGATCCGACAGAGCCCAGAGCTTGCACGTTATTTGGGCACACCCGACAGTATCGCCCGGATCGACACTTTCCGCAAGCGCGCGACGTCTACGTATCTCGATGCATGGAAGGAAACATCCCAGTACCTTCTTGATGTGCAGTATACCTCCCGTGGGGCGCAACGCAATTCTGGCGGCAACGTGGATTCAAGTGCCATCGTCAAGTCCCTATCGTCCAAGGATAAGGATGCGATCAAGGACAAGTTCAAAGCGTTCAACGCGAGCTTCGATGATATGGTGTCTCGCCACAAAACCCTTCATATGGAGCGCGAGGTGCGCACTGCGCTGACTCGTGAGCTGCAAACCGTTCTCGAACCCTTGTATGCGCGCTTTTATGATCGATATGTGGAGATCGACAAAGGCCGCGGCAAATACATCAAGTACGACAAGGCAAGCCTATCGGTACAGCTGGCGCAGTTGGCTTGATTATCCTGGGCGAAGATTGAATTCACGAAGGACTGTCATTTATACGAGCTAATATCATAATAATGGATGCCACCACCAAGTCTACTTTCCCTACTGGTGGATCATCACCCGCTCTTAAAACATGTACATAACGTATGGTGTCATGTGACATGTAGATCATCTCCGATAACGTGACTGATAAGCCCCGCTAAAACCGGACTGCAGCAAAATTCCTTGCTCGCACATTGCCTTGTCCCTGTCCTACCATCCGTCCAGTTGCTCAATTCTTCGTTTGAGTGTCTCAGACAACCACCGACACAATGTCCGGAAGCAACGATGTCTACCAGACCCCCCTCAACTCGCGCTATGCGAGTAAGTCGGTCCCAACTGCCCCTCTATAAGAGGGGCAACTCCGGAAATTGTATAGATCAGAATTAACCATACTTCAATTGATCAGGCGATGAGATGAAGTACCTCTTCTCCCCCCGGAAGCGCTTCTCCACATGGAGACAGCTTTGGACCTGGCTCGCGGAGGCTCAAAAAGGTACGGGAGAGTCGGGCCTCGACCGAAATCGGAGGTAGTTGAAGCAAGACATCGAAATTGACTGAATCATGGCTACAGAGCTTGGACTTCCTATCAGCGCCGAGGCCATCGAGCAGATGAAGGCCCACGAGGTTATCCAGGATGCCGAGTTCGCCGTTGCCGCCGAGGAGGAGAAGCGCCGGAGACACGATGTCATGGCCCACGTCCACGCCTTTGGCCTGGTTGCCCCCGCCGCCGCCGGTATCATCCACTGGGGTGCCACCTCGTGCTACTGCACCGACAACGCCGATCTGATCCTGCTCCGCGACGGTCTCGACATCCTCATCCCCAAGCTGGCTGTTGTCGTCGACAAGCTGTCCCAGTTCGCTCAGCAGTACAAGGACCTTCCTTGTCTGGGCTTCACTCACGGTCAGCCCGCCCAGCTGGTGACCGTTGGCAAGCGTGCTTGTCTCTGGATCCAGGATCTGCTGATGGACCTGCGCAACCTCGAGCGTGCTCGTGATGATCTGCGTTTCCGTGGTGTCAAGGGTACCACCGGTACTCAAGCGTCTTTCCTGCAGATCTTCAACGGTGACCACTCCAAGGTTGAGAGCCTTGACGAGCTTGTTACTGAGAAGGCTGGCTTCAGCTCCGCTTTCATCATCTCCAGCCAGACATACTCGCGCAAGATCGATGTTGATGTCGGCAACGCTCTTGGTTCTTTCGGTGCCACCTGCGAGCGCATTGGCATTGACATCCGTCACCTTGCCATGCTCAAGGAGGTTGAGGAGCCTTTCGAGAAGGACCAGATTGGCAGCAGTGCCATGGTGAGTTTGCTTGTCCGTTGTGTTAATTGAGACTTTTTTGGCTGATAGTCTGTAGGCCTACAAGCGCAACCCCATGCGCTCAGAGCGTCTGTGCTCGCTCGGACGTCACCTGCAGAACCTCCCCAAGGACTGCTTGGACACCTACTCCGCTCAGTGGTTCGAGCGATCTCTCGTGGGTATACCTCAGGTTTCATTTAGAATCTTGTATTAACTTGTACTAGGATGACAGTGCCATCCGCCGTATCAGCATCCCGGAGCTGTACCTGACCGCTGACGCCTGTCTCATCCTTCTGAGTGAGTTTTGGAATTATTAAAGGCACGGATTATAGCTAATCACTACTAGACAACGTCTCCTCCGGCTTCGTCGTCTACCCCGAGGTCATCAAGCGCCACGTCAACGACGAGCTCCCCTTCATGGCCACGTGAGTATACTTCCAACCAATCTGATGGATATCGCTAACACCATATCTTAGCGAGAACATCATCATGGCCTGTGTCGCCAAGGGTCTCTCCCGCCAGGACGCCCATGAGGAAATCCGTAAGTTTCTGTCCCCTCATATCTTCCCATCCGAACCGGGATTCTAATGTACCTAGGTGTTCTCTCCCACCAAGCCGCCGACAACGTCAAGAAGCAGGGTAAGGACAACGACCTGATCGAGCGCATCCGCCGCACCGCCTTCTTCGACCCCATCATCCCGGAGCTGGACACCCTCCTGGATGCCAGCACCTTTGTCGGCCGCGCCCCTCAGCAGGTCGAGAAGTTCACCAGCACCGAGGTGGCCGCCGCCATCAAGCCCTACGCGAGCACCATTGCCAAGGGCGAGACCTCTGCCCTGTACGTTTAAGGTACCTTAGTACAGCCGTATTCTGTGTATCTATTAGAATGTGAAAAGTTATATAAAAAGACGGAGAGATATGGATTTCCTATAGAGGAAAGAGAAGGGAGTGACTGTGTATACAAATTGAATGCAAAGCATTATGTTCCACTTGTGGATATCTTCTGAGGGAAATTTCCCACCCCACTTCCCTGCTTCCCCGATGCCCCGCGCTGCAAATCTTCGAGGGGTTTAGATAGGAGGGGTCAATTTGTGAGTGTCATAGACACTTGGAGTGATAAGAGGGTAAAAACGTCATTCTAGAAGCGAAAATGATGTAAGAATATTCAACTCTTTTGCTGTATAAAAGGAACTGACAATTGAACCGCCCAAACATGAATAGGAGAGAAGATGGAAAAGCTCAGGCTATCAGCCTGCATGGTAATCATTACTATATGCAATAGAACGCTGTGGACATGCAATCGTAACAGAAAGAAATGCAAATAAAAAGAATGAAGAAAAAAAAGAAAGCTGTTTGGGTCAATTGAGTGCCGAACAACAGATATAGTCCGTAGAGAAAGCCATTGAAAAGGAGTAGCTGGCCAAGTCGAATCCAGCAACACAATGACAGTAGCAGGATACCCATCCGGAACTTCCCAATCGCCATTGCCAATAACCCGGAGTATCTCCGGAGCCACCCAGCGTAATCAAAACGGCAGTTGCAACAAATCAAGCCTGCCGTGTGGATGTATCCTCATCGCAATCTCTCACGGGGGCCAAAAAAGCGTATCCCTCCAAGCACAATGCATCTCGGCCCAAGATTTCTAACCTCTCAGACCCAAATATCCACAGAATCAAAAAGAAGCCAACTTGTCGCGCAAAAGGCCGCAATAGGCAAAATCCCCACTCCGGGAAAAGAAACGACCCAATCCAAGACGCAATCCATTCCCCCCCACACAAAGCGCCTTTAATTTTGTTCGGGTTGAGCAGGAGGGGCTGATTCGGATTCGGAGGGTAAGAAAAGGTCGCGGACTAGCCAGACGATATAGAGGACAGCCAGCACCCACAGTGTGGCCATGAGCTTGTATGTGGAGGAGCGCCATGTGACGCGACGGATGAGGCGACGGCCATTGGGACCTTCGATGGGGCCTCGACGAGGTGGTTGGCCGTTTGATTGACCGTTGTATTGGCCGCTATATTGGCCGTTGGATTGACCGTTGGATTGACCGTTGGATTGACCGTTGGACTGCATGAAGGGATAGGCGATGGCTTCATTCATCTCGCTGTGGGATATTCGACGACGAGACATTTGGGAGGATTGTGGATTCCGGAGGGTATATATTGCTTCCGAGGGGTGACGGTTTCTCTCCCTATGTATATGCCGGGAGAGGGTTAAGTATAATAGTCACCGGTGCACAGGTTGTCAAGGAATTGAAGAAATGAAGTTTTGAGGATTTGGAGTGTTTTTAGGGCAGAATTGATTGGTTTTTTTTTTTTTTTCAGGGAAATTGGTATTTTTTGCCAACGCACACAAAAAAGGAGGAGGGGCCGAACAATAGCCAGTCAGAGACAATAATTGCTAGACAACAGCAAGAGCTCGAAAAGGGAATCTTGAGTCTCCAGAAAGCGGATCTGTTGGACGGGCGAATGGGTAGCGGTGGGAACGTGGCCCGTTGCATCATCTTATGACTTTTCTCTCTCTTTTTCTTTCTTCTCTAATATAAAGGATCTCGGATATAAACAGAAGATTCTTCGAGCTCAAGAGCTCAAGAATTCGTCCAATTAAGAACAAAGAGTGATTGCGCCAGGAAATGCGAGATAGCCGCGGTGCTCGACAAGTGTCATTTTCTTAGCGATTGCTATTGAAAGGCTAAAAAGGGGGGAGGCAAGGGCAATGGGGGGGGGGGAGGTGACAAAAGTACCAAACGTTAGATTGTGCATGCACGGTCCTATACTCCGTAGACTGAGTCATATTGTGTACTGTTATATAGTTATATCTGATCTACAATTTCAAGGTATATAATATATATATATAAACGATCTGAAGTCATTTAAGAGGAAAACTAGGCATAGGTTGTTATATAGACATTATATGGTATATACTACTGAGCTATATCAATTATAAAGTGTAGTACACTATCTTATACATATGATTAACCTAAATTATCCCATTGTTCTCATTCTACGTCTCCTCGCGTGACGATGACTCATCAGTTAGTACCCCGAGGTCGAGGGCTGGTCGATATACAACATACTTCAATATTGACTGCGGGCTGGGGATTTATTATGAAACTGGTGGCTGAGGTCGGCTGAACTAGAAAGGACACCTAAGAAAGATGCCGGGTATATACTCCCGTATTGTCCCCAACATCCATTTGATATCTGGCATGTGAGTCATGCCTTAGGCCAGGATATGTTATGCCTGAGGCCATGAAATTATGTCATAGGCCGACTTTGGAAGTTACGGGTGAACGGACTTTTAGATTTACATAGTACCTTGGGGCTTAAGACAACACTCCTGTTAATATATTTATGAATAAAAAAAGAAAGAAAATAGACTATAAGCAATACCTCTGTAAATCGTAAGTTGCTTATTTCCTGTCGTGTGATCTTCCTCCGGTCCCCGGAGAGCGCAAGCGGAGAAAACCCGGGGACCACTCAACCTCGGCAGTAAAAACGTTCCGATGACTCTCATCACTCACACTTCCTCTTTCCACTTCTCTCCAGATAAAACAACTTTCTAGAAAACACATCACTTACTAGGCCATTTGGCCAACATACCCCCCACAATGTGGAAGCCTTCAGAAAGGCTGATGGATACCATCAGGCATTATGCCAGCTTCCCCGCAACCGGTGTCTCGCTAAGGCAGATGGTCCAATTTGGTGACCGTCCCTCAACAGGTATGAACTATGAACTGGTTTGGCACTGTCTCCAGACAATATCTAATTATCGTCTAGGTACCCTATTCCGCGCCTCTCAATTTCTCTCCGAGGAGCTCCCGATTCGTCTCGCACATCGCGTGCAGGATCTGGGTGAGCTGCCAGATGGACTCAGTGAGATGCCATCGATCAAAAAAGTCCAGGACTGGTATGCGCAGTCATTTGAGGTATGTGATTCACCCATTGATAATTGATCCCTGATCCATATACTGACTCGAATTCCAGGAAATCATTACTCTTCCTCGCCCCACTCTGACTCAAGAAGTGAAAGCACGCCTACTGCGACCAGGCCGGATGAACGGCGGCCCTTCAAAAATCCTCTCCGAAACAACTCAAAACCCCAGTGTGCGTGAAGGACAGTACCGGTCATCCGTGACCGCAGCCAATGGAGATGGCGTTGCAAAAGCGCACGCCGCCGCAGGCCGACGGTACTTTTTCCCCGCGGACGACCGCGGAGACTGGCCTCCGGAACTCAATGACTACAACCAACGATTCGCCAAGACCCTCCAACAGATCAAGCGACGCCACGACGGGGTTGTGACCACCGTCGCGCAAGGCATCCTAGAATGGAAACGTGCGCGGCAGCGCATGCAGATTGACTCCACGATTCAGTCCTTCCTCGACCGGTTTTACATGTCAAGGATTGGTATACGAATGCTCATCGGCCAACACATCGCACTCACGGAACAAACGCACGTCAAACACCCCAACTATGTCGGAATAATTTGCACCAAGACCAACGTCCGCGATATCGCGCTCGAGGCCATTGAAAATGCCCGCTTCGTCTGCGAGGACTACTATGGTCTTTTCGAGTCGCCTAAGGTGCAGCTGGTCTGCAAGGAGGACTTGAACTTCATGTATGTTCCCGGACACCTATCGCACATGCTCTTCGAGACTCTCAAGAACTCGCTTCGGGCGGTCGTCGAACAACATGGTGCCGATAAGGATGAATTCCCCGTGACCAAGGTTATAGTTGCCGAGGGCAAAGAGGACATTACGATCAAGATCTCCGACGAAGGCGGTGGTATCCCCCGGTCGTCGATCCCTCTTGTATGGACCTATATGTACACGACAGTGGAGCAAACGCCCAACCTGGACCCCGATTTCGACAAGAACGACTTCAAAGCACCGATGGCTGGATTTGGATATGGCCTACCAATAAGCCGACTGTACGCACGGTACTTTGGCGGTGATTTAAAGTTGATCAGTATGGAGGGGTATGTTCTTTCTCTACATTCATCATCTTTTATAAACCCTTGCTAATTGATCACCACAGCTACGGCACTGACGTCTACCTCCATCTAAACCGCCTCTCTTCGAGCTCGGAGCCCCTGCAATGACAATCACCTGTCATGAGAGACGGTCGGATCCGGATCACCACCTCGCACCGCCTGAACCACCCAATTTACAATGACCCGGAATACAAACCCACACCGTCTCGAGGACTGACACTGATGAATGCCCAGGCCCACTACGCTCGCATGCTCAGCCGAGAGGTCTCGGAGCGTAAACAGGTTGGGGACATGGAGAGTCTGTTCCACTCGGAGCAGCGGAGGAGAGAGGAGAAAGTGATGTAAGACGTGCCTCGCTTGGCTTAGCCTTGGCTTTGGTCTTGACTTCTACTCTGTCTTCTGATTGGTTCCCCTATATCTCTCACCTTGTCTCTTGCTTGTTTGATCATTTCCTCAGATTTGGATGGCTGTTGCATCTGTGATGAGCTGTTCCACCTAGAATGCGAAGATGAGTTCGCAAGTCGGACTTCAGTGCCACCGCGTTGCCTGAGACACTCGGGTAATATCCCAGAGATGGACAGAGGGGGAGAACACAAAAAGACCGCCAGAGAAGCTATTCGCTTTTCTGGATCCTCTCGATGATACCCCTTTTCTCTTTATTTTCGTTCTCCTCCTCCTCCACTCTGGGCTGGTGGTCCTGTCGTTGATTTGGCTTCTCTGTATAGTACTTTCTTTTTAGTCTGTTTTAGCGAATATAAATATTCTAGTATCATGTCACGTCTTTAGTAGTGGATAACCTATACGCAAGCATCCATTACAATAAGATTCAATATTCCAGATAACCCTGGAATCCAGCCCATGCAAGAAACAGCACGCTAAAAACAACTCGCTTCAATTCATAACTCATAGGTCATCATCCTCATCCTCCACCCTCTGACTCTGACGCCGACCAGGACGCAAACCCCTCCCAACCAACGAAGCGCCCCCTCCTCCTCCCAACCCAACACCCTCAGAAACCCTCGGCGAATTCGCCCCCGAAACAGACCTAGAAGCCGAACCAGAGCGCAAACCACCACCTTTGGCCTTCTTCGCATCCATCGACCTCAAATGCCCCGGCTTATGCCAATTATGATCGTTAATGTCCCCAATAACCTCCCGGTACCGACCACGAATGAGCGACCCTTCCCCGCCCTTCCCATCAGGCGCGATATAGAACCGTGGGTTATACAGCAGTTCTGCTTTTACTGGGTCGTTGGGGGCGAGATATTTTGCCAGGAAACGGCGGCGAGTTTGGGGGATTGTCTTGGTGGTGTTAGTTGGTTTATTGGTTATAATTGCATTGCAACTGCAATTGTGGCTGGGTTTGGGACTAGCACTGGATTCAAGGGAAGAACAGGACAGGGCAAGGTGTGGTAACGTACTTCTCGTGAGGCAAGCGCATATGTAACTAACAATTCACTGTCCATGAGGACGGCCAGTGCGGCGTGTTTTTCGTCGCGGAGATGTGAGTGTGTGCGGGCATCCTTTTCGAAGGCGGTTTGGGGTTCTGGTATGGCGTCTTGGCCGGCGCGGTTGTATGATGTTGTGAGGGGGTTTTGGGCGCGGCCGGTGAATCTTCCTGTTTGGGGTGTTAGTTTGTAGACTAAGCAGAGATGGTTTCGTAGTTGGACGTGATCACATGGAAGGAAGGAGGGATACATACCCGTGTCGGATCCATTTGACGTGTCTCCGTTCATGCCCCAAACATCATCATCATCATCACCATCACCATCATCATCACCATCATCACCATCATCTGATACAGAGCGGGATATTGGTATACCATCGATGTTTGGAAGTTGAAGTTGGGCACCTTCACTTCTGTCGTACATTGGTATACCGTCAGCACGGTCTATGTTGTCGAGTTGCATGCCACCATCAGATTCGGATTCAGATTCTGTGTCTGAGATGAGGTTCATGTATTGGCCGGACATGTTGAAGATATGGAGATGAAGTGTGAGTCAGTAGCAAGTGAAAAGCAGACCGAGACGGGTCTTTGAGTCAATATGTGGTTGGTGCGGAGTCGGAGATTGGATGGCGAGGTGCAACCAATCACTAGTGAGAACGGAAGTGATAAAAGGTCTCTGTGGTAGACTTTGCTTCACATCTGTCGTTGACAGAGAATTTTATGTATATCTCATTGTATGACCCCAGGATTGATCTATAGCCAGTGTCAGTTGATGAGAAAGAGATATTGGCGGCAAGTGTACGGGATACTGGTCATGTCGGGGAGAGGGCTTGACAGGGAAGAAAGTTTATCTCAATAAGGAGGTTTAAACGTACATGTTCTCGGCACTTCAGATAGAAGTCAAGATATAGACGCTTCAGCGTGTTGATGAGATAACCTCGTGCCCTCTTGGCGTGGGTCCCTATATTGTGGCCAGATTGAGCAGGCGGTGAGGTCGCACAATGGCAATTTGATCGCACTGGTGGTGTTGAACCCCCTAATCAGGCTTAGTGGATATCAAGTATATTATTGCGTTGCAATACTAGTTACTTAGTCTTGAATACATACTGTTGAGATACTGATCCTTTCAGTATATGGTGTTGTTTAGACAAAATCTTAGATGGGCTCTACAAGGAAAAGTCAAAAGTACCAAATGGTTCTATTGAATCAATGATGAATGGCGAAAATAAATGTAATGTGATGCCCAAGACCCAACAACGCCAAAAAAAACAATGCCGCTAAAACGACGAACAGTTTAGGATAAAGGGAGAGAGAGGACAATGGAGTCTAATTAGCTGGACAGTCGTGCATGTAGGAATTTTTAGGCCAATGGTACCCAGCGTCGTCCCTGAAAATTCAATCGTTAGTAAAGAGCAAACTAGGAGACAAAACCAGCGATACAAACATACCAAGTCGTAAAGTTCGCATTATCGTACGCCTTGCGATGTTTCTCAATATACTTGGTTGTCTCATAACCTGGTGGGTCACAAGTAATACTTTCATCATCGGGGTCCTGGTAGATCCGGATGTAGTCGAAGCGCAGGATAGCAGGCATAAAATCAATGATGCTCTTATTCTGCGGCGCAAAGTTGTCCGCCATACCCATATTCATGACCAGAGCCATGGGCTCGAGTGGTATCATGCGTTGCCCGATATTCCCGTTGGGTCCGATGGCGCGGGCGTCCAGTGTCCAGGTTTTTTCGGCGCCGACGAACCAGGTCACTTCGCCTTTTGCGCCCGGTGTATACTCGAAAGAGTACGTTTGGTATTCGGTGCCGTTGTACCAGCGGTGGTTTAGGTTGGTTAAGCTGGACATGGCCTGTTGGTAGACACCGCCTCGGTAGTCGTTAATTTTGGTGACGCGTGGGTCGTAAACGGCGGCAAAGTCTGTGGTTTCTTTCGTTAGTGGACGTGTTACAGTGAAAAGAGTCAAAAGATACTTACCATAGTCAGGTAGGTACCATAGGTCGAATGGTGCAGTCTGCAAACTCTGCGACGCACTACCGACGAAGGGACCGCTGTCACCATACAGTGGAGCAGTGCTGCCTTCAATAACGTCGATTTCAGGGACACCGCGTGCAGTACCAGGAGTCGGGTGATCAGAGCCAGGGCAGGCACATCCAGGCAACCGCATACCGGGCAGCCAGTTGATACCATCAGGGGAACTCTGATTCGGGGTTATGCCCGCATCGCAGCCGTCATGGTAGCTGTATGGCCACAAGCCATCGGTGGTAGCAGCATAGCCAGGACGACCTAGGTTGCCTACTGCCCAGAAACCAGGCCAGAACCCTTGGATATGTCCATCTCCCGGGAGAGACATGCTAGCTTCGAGACGGCCTCCCTTGAAGCAGAGCTTGTTCCAACTCTGTACCATACCGGATCGGTATTCGAGACCGTGGTTTTTGAAGTGATCGAACCGAAGCTGGAGGGTGCCTTCTGCCGTGGTTACTGCGTCGGGGTCATACCACTAGGCAGTGTCAGTATTTGAGCGGTGATTTCTGACACATTTTATACTGACCTCTTTGTCCTGCGTTACTCCGTACCATAGATCAACTGCTTGGAAGAACGGGTCATCGTCCTCGAAGAACGTTCGACCAGGCATGTTAAATTCGTCAGAGAACTGTAATGGAACGTCAGCCCATTTTTCATTGTTAGTGACCTATCACACAACTCACCACTAGCTTCATCTCCTTTCCATTGGCGTCTTTCTTGGTGTATGCCTCTTTCGGTGTATCTGGGTCAATCAACCCCCTGCGCAGGTTTTCCAGCAATGGTCGCTCCCCAACATCCAAACACAACGTGTCTGCAGGGTGGCATATACCACCATGATGTTTTCCAATGCCCGCCAACCAAGTTCTGCGATTACAGGTTAGCCAGGGGAGAAAACAGTCAAATAAGCCAACAACTTCTTACATGAGCGGGTAACCAATGAAAAGCACCAAAAGGCCGATTGTGAAAACTGCCAGACCACCGACATTCACAATACCCCGTCGATTCCAGATATCACAATCTCGATCCTTGTCCATCGGGTCCGGGTTATGCATGTAGTCATCCTTCTCCACATCCTCAGGGAACAACAACAACCCATCAGTGGGCATGATATTGAATTTCCCCGCTACGGTCTGCGTGTTGACATCATACTCCTCACTACCAGCATGCGAAGGCGACCTCGAATCCTGAAACGGATCAAAGGGGAAAGTGCTATCACGACTAATGGAACTGATACTCGAGCGAGTCGCAGACCACCTGTCCGGAGACCGGGGGCGATCAGTCCCACTCACACCGTGTCCCTGTGTAGGCCTCAGCTTTGGGGGCAACAGGAATTCCGAGGACTGTGGGACATTTGATACGCCATATGGTGACATCGCAGGGCCTATTGCCATGGGCGCGTCGGGGCCCTGTGGCGTCAAGGGCCGGGGAAATGTCCGCGATGTAAGAGGCGCGTAGCCCTCATTTGTCTCGAGGAAAGGATCCTGCCGCCCCGAGTTGAGTCGGATGTGAGGCGGCGCCTTCTCCTCCGAGGAATCAGAGCCGTGGTCCGACATTTGATTGTCGATTTTCGAGTTCGTGGATAGTTCCGACACGCTCCTTTGCTCCGAACTGGTGAGGCGTGGCTCTCTACTTTCGATTGCCGGCGCAAGAACAGCCCTTTTGCATCAGTCGTTGGTGGAATCCGTGGGGCAGGTTGGTATGACGATGTGATGTTCTGCTTGTTCTTCTTTCTTCCGGTTCGTCACGCAACGATTTCGATATCTGTCTCAACGGTAAAGACTGAGGACCTAAGTCGTTATACTGCACAGTCGATGAGTGCGATGTTTTAGCGAAAGAACTGACACGGCAGGTCGGATAGCATCGAATGTCCCTCGGCGATACGAAAAAAAGAGACAAACAGAGTCTAAACGGAGAAAGAAGGCCAAAATCACAGAAGAAAAGAAAAGCCTAGATGGCCCGAGGGATCTTGTTTGGGTTCACCAGGAGACAGGAATGACAGAGACCGAAGGGGGGCAACCAGCGGTATGTCTATGCCTCTCTCTCCCAGAGCCTTTGGGATGGACTGTGGATGATAGTAGAGTACTGTTCCAGACTCAGCTCAATAGCCTAAAGCAATATTTTGTATATCATTGACTGTCTGGTTCGACTAATTGAAGTAGACTGGTGTTGATTTTGAAGCCCTCATCCTGGCTCTCACGCCCCGGGTAGGGCTATTCTAGGGTGCGGCATTCCCGTTGCTTCCCTGGGTCCCGAGGAATGGCCTGGGATGAATGCTGGCTGGAATTCAGGGGTCGCCATAGTCATAAACCTGGAGAGATTCAGATGCAGTAATAATAGCAGTTAAGGTTGCTCCGTATAGATGTACGTGGAGTTGTTGAAGCGAAGGGCGAATCAGCGGGGAAATGAGAGACATGGCCCGAGAGCCCTTTTATTCTACCAGCGCAATATAGATAGATGAACATTTAATTTCTTTACACAAATGCGGCTACGAAAATAATTACCAGAGAGGAAAAATTGAGTATTACGGCTTTGTTCCTTTCAAGGCTAGTAAACCAATTCAACCTATTTTGCACAGCCATTGACACGCGTCCTGCCAAACCTCAACCCTCAGAGCTTAAGAATGCGACAAATCCCGAACAAGAAGCTGTCAAGACCACCTTACTCCAAGGGCAAAGTAGGATGAAACCTCTGATTATCCATTCCATGCCAGCTTTATCAATATCAAAGAACAAGGTAGTTCGAGGTGCACAACCTGTACACCTCGATCCTCGTAGAAATATTAAATTTCGGTAGAATAAACAGCTACACATCAAATAACGAACTATGTCCTACACTAACTCCAAAGACCTCTCCATTATGAATACAACCAGCCTGAACACCTAGGACTCAACAGCCTTAGCACGCAGACCGACAATACGGCTCTCAGGCGCATCTAGTGCCAAAAGCCAGTACTCGATCTTAGTACTAGTTTGTTCAACACGGTAGACCTTCAGCTCAACAGCCGATTGATCGGCACCGGAATCCTTCTCGACAGCCGCGGCGCGGACAGCATCCAGGGCGGCGGAGTATTGATTATTCGGGTCGAAGGAGGAGGGGGATAGTATGGAGATGGACTGGGACAGGTCGGTATCTGGGGAGATCAGGGAGGCGAGCTGGTCTGCAGTGAGGGAGGGGTGGTTAGCAGGGCATATTTTGTCTTCGGGGTTTCAAGGGAGCAACTCCGTGAAGGAGGATGCGAAATATGACGGAACTAGGAAATGGAAATGGAATCGGATCAGGACCAGGACCAGGAACATACCAGCACTAGGCCACGATCCCTTGGCAGCGCCATCCCACTTCAATGCCACAGGTTCGAAGGGCTCGTCTGTATCGGAGACGTAGTATGCGTCGACGGACTGCAGCGGCTTTGGGACTGACAGAGAGCTGTGCACGGTAAAGGTTTTTGCGGTGCCGGCCCCTTGCTGCGGGGCGCCGCGGCTCACATCTTCGTTGGCTTTGTCCAGGAAGGACATGTAGGCGTCGTCGGAGGACATGATTTGTGTTGAAGTTGAGAAGGAGGAATGGGTGGGGAGGGAAGAGCTGGTTTGTGGTTGCGGTCTTGAAGTTGCGGGGAAGAGGCGGGTTTGCTGCTCTGTATTTCGGGTGTGGGTTCTTGGGCTCGTTTGATGATATAGACGGTGTAGAAGACGGTATTGAGGCTGAGGACGTTCGATTCGGAAGGTTGATCGTAGGGTGTAGAGTGAGATTGGCAAAGCCCGGTTTCTTGCTGAAGCTGGCAGGGGAAAGTGTGGGATGACGCAATGGAACTTGGACTGGCGCATTTTGTTTCACCACCGGCTTGTCGGATTAGAATATGGTATATTTGAATGACTAAAGAGATTGGAGGTGTTTAAGGGGTTGTAAATAGATATATGGGGAAATTAGGAAGAAAAAACAACCTCAGCTCAACATTTCGGGTGTGTACAGACATCCCAACCAGATATATATCAACTGATGGGAAATATACAACATACAACTTTCGTAGGAAATATAGGCAGTTATTGAAGAAATGGATATGTAATATTGTAGGAAATTCTCGGACATGCACGCCGAATATATTTATAAACTTAGACAGTATACAGCTACTTGCAAAATCGTGAAGGATATTCGCTTTTTTATTGAATATGAAACGTTGCACTATCACCAACCATAGGCTTAAACATCTTAAACAGTCTCCACAAGGTCCTTCTTGAGGGTACCCATGAAGGCCTTCTTCTCCTCGAAGGTCTGGAAAGCACCGTGACCGAACTTGGAGGAGGTATCGATCCACTTAAGCTCAACCTTCTCGGTGGCCCTGCGGGAAGTCTGGGGGTACAGAGTCTTGCGCAGAGTCATAACACGCTTCTTGACACCGGGAACGGAGCCCTTGACCATGACGAAGTCGTTCTTGACCTCACCGTAGTGGACGAAACCACCCATGCTAGAGAAACGTTAGAATTAAAAAAACACACACATAGAGAAAATATCAGGGAGGAACATACGGGGTGATCTGCTTCTTGGAGATGTCGAACTCGGTGGAGGCGTTACCCTCATCAGTACCCTTTCCAATGCGGAAGACCTTGTGGTTGCAAGAGGTACGGTGGTGGTAACCGTCCTGACCGGCACGGGCAACAGTCCACTGGACGTGGTTAGGGTGCCAAGCACCAATACAGGCGACCTTGCGCAGACCCTTGTGAGTCTTGCGGGGCAGCTTGGTGGTACCCCAACGGGAGGTGACACCGGAGAAACCGTGACCCTTGGTGACGGCGATGACATCAATCATCTCGTCCTTCTCGAAGATGGAATCGATATCGATGGTCTTCTCGAAGAGGTTGCGGGCGAAGTCAACCTTGTCGGAGACGGAGCCACCGTTGACCTGGATCTCCATAAGGTGGGCCTTCTTCTGCTTGATAGGAGTCTGGCGGATCTGGGTGTGGGCGAGGACACGGACGACAGTGCAGTACTTCTGGATGCGCTCAAGCTCGCGGGTGATGGAGGCACCGGAGCTCTCGGCGTGGGACTTGGCGTACTTGGTGAAGGCCTTCTTCTTGGACTTGTACCAGTTCTTGTAGAAGCGACGCTTGACCTCATCGCTCAGGTGCTCAGCCCAGACGGTGGTGAGAGAGCGGAGACCACGGGGAGTCTCGATGTAACCGACGACACCGACGGCAACGAGCTGGAAAGAACAAAAAAACTTGTTAGAGACTGGTCGCTTTTTTTTCCCTCTTCTCCTTCTCGCACAAAATGGGGGAAACGTACAGGAGGGGTCTCGATGACGGTGACGGCCTCGACAATCTCCTTCTTGTGCATCTTGGCACCAGGACGGTCAAGGTCACGGACGACGGTGGTCATACCAGCCTTGTAGCCCATGGAGGCAGTAAGGTGGACGGGCTTCTTGGCGTCATCCTTGGGGAAGCTGTCGCAAAAAGTCTCAGCACACAAATCCATAAATCACGAACTCATTCAGAAAGTACTGACCTCTTGACCTTACCACGGTGACGGGCAGCGCGCTTGCGCGGGAGGTAGGCAAGGGAGCCTGGAAATATAATCAGTATACTGTACACACACAGAGGTCGTATTTCGAAATTTCGATATCGAGGAAAAAGGTGATCACGAACCGTGACGAGGCGCTTCGAACTTCCGGTGACTCCTGAAAAGCGAAAGCAGGTCAGCAATTGTATTCAATGGCGATTGTATATGAATCTTCAATCGGGATAGACTCACATCTTGACCCTGTTATCGTTAGTCGTCGAGGTGGTGGGAGGACGATCTGGAAATGTCGAAGTTGATTTTGCACGCTTGGTGTGTGGGCTAACCTAAGCGAGACTCTTGGCGTGTAAGAGCCTGAGGCACCCCACAATAACCCAAATTATCTAATCCAGCCCTGGTCCTGTCACGTGCTGTCCAGATTTTCCGGGCCCTGAGATGATTTTTATGGGTCTTCCTGCTGCCAAGGCAAACGGCCAGCAATATGGTTTTTAGGACATCCACATTGTGGGCTGGAATGAAATATAGACCGAAATACAATACTACAGTAATATGAGGACAGTAATACAACTCAATGAAAAAAAAGACGTTATAAATTTACTCTACCAAATTCCAGAGTATCAAATAAATGATTTGCTTCAAGGATGCCAAATGCACCATAAAAAAAAATTCACAGTGAAAGGAGACTAAGAAATCATAAAAAAGAAGAGAACGAACAGACATGACGAGTATTCAGCGCATGCGCTTGAAACTAGGTAGTCATCGTAACTCGCACATTCATACCGTACATCACACACTGAAAGATAGGAAGGACAGGGAGGAGCAAGGTAGCGAGAGATTTGGGCTTTGCCAGATTTAATTTAACCAGACCACACTTGTCTGGTTGGGAGAAGGAAGACTTTTATGCCGTTGGCTCAGCCTTGGATGGAGTACTGGCACGGGCATTTCCGGCACCATTGGTGGGGTTGCCAGCAGCGCTGCCGTTGGGGCTGCCCTTGGAAGCAGCAGCGGCCTTCTTCTCTTCCTCAACTTCGTCATCGTAGTCTTCATCGACATCCATCTTGCGCGCGGGGGGCTCGTGTGCAGGGGGAGCCTCCGGGCGAGGAGCTTCTTCTTTGACCGGGGTGTTGGCGGAAGGAGGTCCAGAAGGGGGGGCGTTGGGTGCAGGTGCAGAGCCCTCGGCCATCGGAGGAAGACTGGGGCCAGCAGAAGGGCGGGGAGGCATGTCTTGGATCGAAGGCAGAGTAGGAGGGTGGTGAGCGGCCTCTGAGGGGTGGTAATTCTCATTGGCACGACGGGCGTCCTCGCGGCGGGCCTCTGAGGAGCTTCGTCGTTGCATCTCACCAGGAGAAGGCAAACGAGCGGGTGGGCTCGGCCGGCGGTTGTTCTGGTCATCCAGACGAGCGCGGCTCTCTTCATTTGCATGCTTCTTGACTGGGCCAGAATCAGCCTCCCATTCGCGGCCGCGCTTCATTGCAGATGTGGGGCGATCTTCACGATCACGGGCGGCAGCCTCAGCAGCAGTAGCAGCCGAAGCAGGTGCCGGGGCACCAGAGGCGATGGAGTTACCGCCTGGAACTTGTGGGGGAAGGGTAGGACCGGGGTGGAACTGTTGGAGAGGGTATCCTGAGCCTGGCGAAGAGGGACGCTCATCGCGAATAGGGCGGATTTCAGGAGCAGGACTGAAGGGGCGATTCTGGTAAGGAGGGGGAGGAGCACCTCCATTGGGCCCAGGAGGTCCAGGGGGGCCAGGTGGAGCGACAGGCAGACCAGACGGCAGAGCACCTCGAGGGGCACCAAAGGCATTGCCGCCACTAGGAGCGCGTTCGTGGCCTGGACCAGGAGCATTTCCAAGTTGGGGTAGGGTGTGAGGCGGCGGGTAGGCGTTGGGATCACCCATCTTTGGCGAGCGAGGCGCGCCACGGGGATCGGGGAACGCCCGACCAGGCTCCTGTCGCGGGCTTTGAGCGGGAGCACCGGGGATCCGAGCATCGCGCTGGTCAAGACCGTTGGATGGGGGAGCTTGGCTCTGAGACTGAAGCTCGTTGATACCACGGTTCCAGTCAGGAATCTGTCTCGGGGGAGCAGGAGCTTGTGGAGGGGGACCGATGGGGGCTGGGGCACCCCACTGAGGAGCTGGAGGTGCACCAACGCCAGGTGCCTGATAAGCCTGAGGATGAACATCCTGCGGCTGAGGCGCGGGAGCAGTGGGTGGTTGTTGTCCAGCCGTGCCAGCAGACAACTGACTTTGAAGCAGCTGCAGACGAGCCTTGATGTGAACGTTGCTAGGATCAAGATCTGCGGCGCGTCCGTAGGCATCCAGGGCATCGGCGATCTGGTTGTTGCATGATTCGTACAAAGTGCCCAGGTCATACCAAACCTCCGAAATGTAAGGGTTCAGGCGGATCGCACGAGAGTAGGCATCGAGAGCATCGCGGTATTGGTTGATCTGGTAGTAAAGAACACCAATCGAGCACCAGAAGGTAGGGTTGCGACCATCGCGGTAGACCGCTTGCTGGTATGCTTCATACGCCTTGGGGTATTTCGCCATAGACATGTAACAACGACCGAGGAGATACCAGCTTTGAGCGTCATTGTTATCTGTGGAAAAAATTCATTAGTTTCAAGGCATACAATTCAAATGGGGGATTGAAATTGCACTTACCAGCATTGACAGACTTTTCCAAAAACTGGATGGCCTTCTCCTGGCTTTGGAAGGCATTACTCTGCTGGTGGTAGAGCCATCCAAGTTGCTGGAGAACTTTGGCGTGGTTTGGATCCCGCTCAAGGACGCGCTGGTAGGCGGATTGGGCAGACTCAAACTGAAGGTTGCATGAGTACAAGATAAGAATCAAGAGTGGAGGAAAGCATGACTTACGTCTTTCTGTTGCTCGTGAACATGTCCAATCTGGAACCAGATGTCCTCTTCGGTCAGAGGGCGTGGGGGATCGCTAACAATGTATTTGAAGCACTGGGAAGGATTAGTCACAGCTCAAGACTCATAGCAAGAGATTTCACATACCTCCAAACTCTGGTTAAACTTCTGCTGCTGCTTGTATATGATTCCCAGGCGGAAGTAGATCTCATTGGCCTTCTCGAAATCCGGTGCCATGCGCATCACTTGCGAGAAAGCCTCTTCCGCATGATCTAGAGAACCATAGCGATCATACAAGATGCCGATTCCATACCACAGCTTCGGTTCCTAATGAGGGGAGTTGGAATCAGCAAGCAAGTTTCAGGGAAGATGTGAGGGGGAAACGACCTACCTTAGGGTCGCGCAAGTGGTAAAGGGCTTGCTGGTAAGAGGTATATGCCTCTTGCAGGTTATCCATCATGAGATGGCAGTGGCCCAAGCTGCCCCAAGTCTCTCCATTGCTCGGATCCAATTTCAAAATATTTTGCAAGTACTCAATCGCTTTTGGGAACTGCTCTTTTGTCCGGAGAATGCATGAAATGGCATTCATGGCTGAGATAGACCACTGGTTGTGACGCAGTGCCTGCTCATAGGCATTCATCGCACCTTCCAAGTCGCCCATCAATTCGGTCAAGCTTCCTACAAACGAGACACTGTCAGAATTCGTCAATTTAAGTATATGACCGGATATCCTTACCTATTTGAAGCCAGACTTGTTCATTGAGTGTGGCGATCTTCTGTGCGGTGGTGAGAGCAGGGACTCCCTTTTGACCTTGCACGGGAATTGCTGACATATGACCATTGGCCTGCGCCTGCGCCTGCGCATGCGCTGCGAGATGCGCTGCCGCATGGTGAGGAGCCACGCCCGCGGTCGGTGATGGTTGAGTATGAGACATGGTTCCCGAGAATCGTGAATATGGTTTGAGTTGAACCGTGTCGCGACCGAACTCTCGGAGTGGGTTTGCGACACGAGGATGCAATCCAAGTTTACACCACTATTAGACACCGATCAAGTGTACTCTTGTGATGTCGCACGCCAATCCTGAGGCGCAATTTCCGATCAACTGGACACGAAGGCAAAGGTGAAAAAAGGAGGGATGGGTCGCGAAAGAAGTAAAGGTCCCTCACGCGACACTATCCAGCAGTGAAGGGTGGCAGTTTTTCAAAATCGACTGGACCTTGGCGCTGTCCCGAAGATAAATGAGTGGCGCGAGATGGCAGTGACACAATCTCGGGGGGCAACGGGTGAGGTCACAGCTATGTAGAGCTTGACGCGCAAGGGTAGAAGGAAAAAAATAAGATATTGAAGAAAGAGGCGAAGATACAAGGCGATACAGTGGGGAAAGGGGAAGTCAGAATTGAAGATGATCCGAAAGCCTAAGGGGGGAAGAGAGAGGGAAGAGTCGAGGGGCTGGCAGGAAAGGTGAAATTCGCCAAGATACGCTAGTGGTTGGGTAGCTCCCGGCCGTCACGACTGATTATCTAATACAAGCTGACACTCAGGAACGGCTTAGCGTTGTGGAGAAAGATCTGGAGGCGGTTATGCTCGTTTTATTTTTATTTTTTAATTATTTTCTTTTCCGTTTTGTGTTTTTTTTGGTCTTTTTCTTTTTTTTTTTCCATTTTTCGCTTTTATTTTCTTTTTTTTCCATTTTCTATTTTTTGGGTCCATCTTAAAAACCCACCCATGATCTCATGAAAGAATTTTAAGCATATAAGAAGTCTTGGAATTATTCAATCTATACACATGTTCTACAGGCATTGTAATTAACCCTAACTTGCGTTCTCTGCTCTTATAATAAATCCATAATACCAAATCTTCCTAACACGAACACACAAACCCCCGGCAAAAGACGCCGAGTGGGGACTCCCCCCGTGGTTGCCTCTAAGGTGCGTTAGTGCGACTGTGCTCCGTGGTGCTATGTAGCCCACAGGGCCGTGCAGCCGCATTGGCTTTCTCAGATCCCTGTTCCCCCCCCCCTTTGCCCAGCACTTTAGGTACTTGTCCGTACTTAATCCTCCGTCAAATGAGAACGGAGACCACCTCCGGGAGTTATTATTCTAGTTGGTTCTCTTTGTCCGGTCTTCATATTTTTTATTCGACCTATCTATATTCAGCTATACAATATATAGATATAATTATGTATACGTCAATAGGCTGCAAGACCAGCACACACAGACCAAACCCGGAACTGTGCAGGGTGCAGCTGTCGAGTGACCCTGTGTTCCCCTTTCCTTTTTTTACCCATCATTTTTCTCCGGACTATATATGTACACAATCCAAGTAGACACCCCCTTGACTCTTAAACTCCATGAATTTCCAATGTTGTTTGGTAAAGTACCATGCAGGGTACCTTGACTTGCATATTCGCCCCTTCCGTCATTATTGTACCCGCTTTAAGCGGCTTAGTGTGTGTCCACAGTTTATTTCATTTTAAAAGTTCCTCAGCCACAGACAGAATGGCCCTGTGCTTGTGGCTGGTGCATACCTGTGGATGCGATGATCTTGAATACATTTTCAGTGGACCTCGGGAGGGAAACTCCCGGATATGACAACCGTGACAACGCTTTTTGAATTCCATCATTGCCATACAGAGTACATACCATTCTTCCTACAAATTACGTATACAATAACTCATATATAGGTATACAACATACGTGGCCATATCAAAGAACATGCGTACCTTATATTTTCTCCCAATGATGGGCTCCACTTGTGCGTGGGTACGCCTCATTTTCCATCAGGGTTTGCTAGCCGAGCCGCCGTCTCTGCCGTTGAGGGTTGTGAAACGGGGGTTTTCCAACAGCC